TGAATTGATGTCCGAAATAAGGCAGAATATAAAGGAATAAATTGAAGTTACAGAATACTTCATCCTATATAGTGGCTAGGATAGAAAACAATTTATTCTCAAGAAATGCACAAGAAAAAATGCTTAAAAAATCAAATTTGCTATTTGAGATGGAAGAACAAATCTAATATCACAAATATTAGTTTTTATATTCCAATTTTAACTCCCCATAATCTCAAGTTCTTGCTTCATAGCTATCATTCAGAATATACTTTACCAAAAGGTGGGTGGATTAGTTTATAAATAAATTAAACCTTTAATTTCGTTTCTATACAGATACGCATATATATTTTATATATTTCGATATTCTGTGATTTTTTTGTTTGTTTGTTATATAATTGTTTGTTGTTGTTCTTGATGTTTTTTTGTTTTATTAAAGCTAATTTTACAAATTTATGATGAAAATATTTGTTTACTGATTTTTGTTTTCCTTTTTTCTTGTCCTAGTTGTTGGATTTATGACAAAACAAAATTGTATTTCAAATGTATATATGTATATGAAACTAATTATATTTATTTAGAATTATGTATGTATTTCTTTTTCTTATAATGTATTAATCATATATATGTAAATATAATATTACACATTATAATTTAATATTGAAGTTTATTGATATATGCCATATAATGTATTTTGTTATATATATAATGGCTCATTTCCAGGAGCTATTATATTATACATATACATTTGCAGTACTTATTATATGAATATAATTATGTATTTGTTTTTGTTTATGTAATATTACTAATGAAACTATGTTAGTTAGTTATGTTCCACAGTTACAATATTCTATTGTTTATGTGTGTGTGTATGATTTTTCTTTTCAATGGAAAATATATATGATATATTTTATTTATTTGTTGTTTGTTTGTTAATAAGTTTATATTGATTTCTTCTTTGACTTATTTTTTTGTTTACTAAATATATGTATATATGTAGAGTTATGTATATAAAAAATTGTATTTGTTATTTTTTGTTTTATTATATTTTATTGATTTCTTTTTCTTGATTTAAAGGAAACATTTGTTTCAATTGTTTGAGGGCTATTTGTTGTTTGTTGACTTTTTTGTTGTTGCTGTTGTTAATATTCTGTTCTGTAATTAAAAGGAAAACATACAAATTAAAGTGAAATAAAATTTGTAATGTGTTCAAATGTTTCTTTATGTAGAAAACAAATAATTAAATTAAATTTAATAAAGCTTTTTTGTTGTTATATTTTGTGAAATCTTTTAATGCGGTGGTTATTTTGTTTGTTTGTTTTTAACTTAAATATTTTTAAATTATTATTTAAGAACTACAACAACTGACTATTTATAATGTACTGGAGGACTCAGGAAAAATTTAGATTAATTTTTCATGGTATTTTTGAATTTATTTTTTCTGGAAATTTGATTGAAAAATTAACCCAATTTTGTTTTTTATTGCATACAATTTTTTTATTAAGTTTTAACCTAGATAGCGCCAAAGATTATTTTCAGAACTGCATTTTTTGAATAATATTTTTTTCAAGACTAAGGGAACTTTGGATTTGTTAAAGAATATTTTTCCAAGACTAACAGACCTTTGGTTTTTTTAAATATTTTTCTAAGATATTTAAAGAATATTTTTCAAAGACTAACAAAAGTTTGGATTTTGTTAAAGAATAATTTTCCAAGACTAACAGAACTCAGGATTTTTTTGCTATTATCGAAGAATATTTGTGCAAGACTAACAGAACTCATAATTTTTTTTTTAGTTTTCCAAGGCTAAAAGATCTCTGAATTTTTTAAAGAATATTTATCAACGACAAACAGAAGCGTAGATTTGTTTAAAGAATATTTTTCCAAGATTAATAGAACTCTGGATTTTTTTAAGAATATTTTCCAAGACTAATAGATGAGAGGATTCTTAAAAAAAATTTTGCTTCAAAATCTAATATTTTTGACACAATCTCATGTAAAAATAAACGTTGGACGAGGTAATCTGGCACGCAAGCAGGCCCTGAAATAAATAGTGGGAGCAGGGAGCTATGCAAACCTCCAGAAAATATGTATAGGCAGCATACACGGTTTGATTATATTAGGAAAGAAACAACCAACCCTAGTTTCTCAACACAGAGTCCAACTTCTATTAACCTATTGACTGTGAGAAATGTTTTCATGGGGTTCAACTTGGGATTAAGGACAACGTTACATTAAATTCAAAATAAAATTCTATGTTGATTTAGACGTGTCCGTCTCTGTGTTGAAATCACTACAAAGATCACAATCCTTCTAGCATGGTTGGTATTGAAAATGATACATCATATCGATCATGTTTGTATAGCCCACATCATAAAGCTGCACCGCACCAATTTCCCGATTTAGGGCAGCCTCATCGAAAAGGCTGTAATTTGGCATAAAGGGTTCTTGAATGTTTTCCCAGAAAATTTTTTTACAGATCCCACTTCAGTTTATGTATTTTCATGACCCTATCGTAACGATGGGTTTATAATTTTAATTACGGATTCGCAGAATATACTCAACGATGATTCATGTTTTGACATATCGCAACATATCCCGTCCCGATTTCAAGTATGTATTTGCAATGTCCTCAGCCAATTTTGTCTCAGAGGATAGAACATGTACTGAAATATCTCGACCTATTTTAGATATTCTGAATGTCCGTCTCAAAATTTTGGGTATACAAATCCGACTCGATCGAATTAAACGACATTTATTTGCTTTAAAACCTTTCCCGTCTCTAATGAATATCAAGAGAGTCCGCCTTTCAAGGTAAAGTGTGAATCGGAACGAATGAACTTCAAAATTGTCACAACCAACCAGTGCAGTCTTTTAGTCGGTTTTATGCCCGAATTGAAAAGTGAAATGTTCACATTCCATCGAAGGGTTTAAAATAATGAAGGTTTTAGCTGGTAAAAACGTGTCAGTCGGTGATTCGAATATTCCATTCGTTTTTAAAATTTTTACATTTTGTGGGGAAAGTACCAAAAGGAGAGGAACGAAGGGACATGATCTAACAAAGGTAAAAATATTATGATGTGCAAAGTTTAGATCAAATCGGACAATCCATTCTCTAGATATTGGATTAACAAATTATTAAGATTTTGAACCTTTGTAGGGAAGGTACCAGGAGTGGACCGATGGGTCCCATCTTAGAACATAATCTAGATTTGAAAAAAGTATTACCATGTGTAAATTTTGAGTCAAATTGCACATCAATTACAAATACTTTTCTTTCAATTTCCTCTCACGCATAAAAATCTGAGATACATTTTATTTCAGAACCATATCCTGCAAGACTTTCCAATATTAGAGTACACTATAAATGTTCATTTTGTTGTTGTGTAGATGTATGCATTTCTTTTTTTTTCTTCTTGTAAATAAAAATATGTGTGTATATATATTAAACTAAAAAACTATATAATATGTATAAACTATAATAATAATAAAAACTTAAAGCACTAATCTATATGTGTGTATAAAATAATAAAAAAGAGAAAAATAAAAACCTGCCTTTTTTGCAAAAAACTAGATAAATATAAAAATTCACGACTATTTTCAAAACGTATAAATGAAAGTAGAATGTAAACTAAAGACAACTGACTTTTATTATATGTATGTATTTCTACTACTTTCATCATTCTACTCTTTATCTACTTTCCTTTTTTCATCTTCTTCATCTGTGGTTCTTTTGTGTTTTTTTACAGATCCCACTTCAGTTTATGTATTTTCATGACCCTATCGTAACGATGGGTTTATAATTTTAATTACGGATTCGCAGAATATACTCAACGATGATTCATGTTTTGACATATCGCAACATATCCCGTCCCGATTTCAAGTATGTATTTGCAATGTCCTCAGCCAATTTTGTCTCAGAGGATAGAACATGTACTGAAATATCTCGACCTATTTTAGATATTCTGAATGTCCGTCTCAAAATTTTGGGTATACAAATCCGACTCGATCGAATTAAACGACATTTATTTGCTTTAAAACCTTTCCCGTCTCTAATGAATATCAAGAGAGTCCGCCTTTCAAGGTAAAGTGTGAATCGGAACGAATGAACTTCAAAATTGTCACAACCAACCAGTGCAGTCTTTTAGTCGGTTTTATGCCCGAATTGAAAAGTGAAATGTTCACATTCCATCGAAGGGTTTAAAATAATGAAGGTTTTAGCTGGTAAAAACGTGTCAGTCGGTGATTCGAATATTCCATTCGTTTTTAAAATTTTTACATTTTGTGGGGAAAGTACCACAAGGAGAGGAACGAAGGGACATGATCTAACAAAGGTAAAAATATTATGATGTGCAAAGTTTAGATCAAATCGGACAATCCATTCTCTAGATATTGGATTAACAAATTATTAAGATTTTGAACCTTTGTAGGGAAGGTACCAGGAGTGGACCGATGGGTCCCATCTTAGAACATAATCTAGATTTGAAAAAAGTATTACCATGTGTAAATTTTGAGTCAAATTGAACATCAATTACAAATACCTTTCTTTCAATTTTCTTTCGCGCATAAAAATCTGAGATATATTTTATTTCAGAACCATATCCTGCAAGAATTTCCAATATTACAGTACACTATAAATGTTCATTTTGTTGTTGTGTAGATGTATACATTTCTTTTTTTTTTTCTTCTTGTAAATAAAAATATGTGTGTATATATATATTAAACTAAAAAACTATATAATATGTATAAACTATAATAATAATAAAAACTTAAAGCACTAATCTATATGTGTGTATAAAATAATAAAAAAGAGAAAAAATAAAAACCTGCCTTTTTTGCAAAAAAACTAGACAAATATAAAAATTCACGACTATTTTCAAAACGTATAAATGAGAGTAGAATGTAAACTAAAGACAACTGACTTTATATATGTATTTCTACTACTTTCATCATTCTACTCTTTATCTACTTTCCTTTCTCCATCTTCTTCATCTGTGGTTCTTTTGTGTTTTTTGTGTGCCTTACAACTTATGATAACGTTCCACATCCGATGAACGAAACGTTTTATTACAAATGCATTTTTCCTGCTGTGTCAGGCTGACCAGACACTCGCGACACACCAAATGACGGCACGTTTGTATTTCATAGGCAAAATCGGGGGTCTGACACTTGATGCAACCCGCCGGTTTGTTGGGTTGTTCTAGCGGTAATTGGGAAAATCGTGTTATTTTCTGTAGGGCCTGTTGTATGGCCTGATCGATACTGTTGCCGGTGGTGGTGGAGGTGTTAGATGTGGCCTCGGCAACCTCTGATCCAGCTGATGGATTATTGCCGACATCCAGAGTCAATGACGAACTTGTTGTAAATGAAGATGTGGCTGCGGTAAATGTTGAGGTGGTCTGTGTTGCTGTGGAGGCCAAACGCAGTGATGTCGACGATGCTGACGACGTTAACGATGATAATGAGGTGGAAGTTGTCGAGGTAGTGTATTTCTTAGTTAATTTACCCTTATGCGAGGATAGGGGTCCATAGCTAGTTGTTGTAGTGGTTGAGGTTTCCATTAAACGTGCCCTCTTCACAGGCAGATGATGATGATATGATGCGGCCATTGCCGAATCATCAATCAGATTTGTAGCGCCCGCCTCGGGACATGATGAGAGTGTTGCTGTTGCACTGCTGCGATATGATTTCGAAAGTGAGGAATAGGCTCCATGTGTATGATGAGGTTGAGTAAGACTAGCAAATTGCGAGGCATGTCGATTTTTACTTCGTCGTACACGTGAACTACCCAATGAACGTGGAACTGTTTTAAAGTGTTCAGAATTCTCCATTAGGAACTTTTCAATGCGTGCTTTTAAGGCCAAATTGAGTATGGCTTTGCGATGGGCTGTAAATTCGAGGCCAGTAAATGGATCGGATGGTAAACGACCCCATTTGGCTTCCTCTTCGGAGTGTTTATCGATGGTGGACTGATCGACAACTTTGCCTGAGGGCAGTACCGTTGGAAAGATCTGAAAGAGAGTAGAGGTGGGGAGGGGGAAATTAGAAATTGTATATAAAGAAAACAAAATCTCCAGAGATATGGAGTTAAACGTTGAAAAGTGTAGACCTAAATTATACAAATCAGGTCTGATAAGAAAATTAAGTTAAGAGAGCAGAGGAAGGGAAGGTTAAAATTAAAAATGTTATATAAAGAAAACATGATCGCAGAGGTATGTGGTTAAACTTTCAGAAGAGTAGCTCTAAATGTTTTCATTGGCCCCCATATAAAGTTTCCATCCCAAAGTGGCTGTAATTTGATAATTCGAGATCTTGGTGGTTAAATAATTTCTTAGTAGAAAATAGGTCCATATTTTATTCAGCCACCATACAAAAGAACCTGTTCTAGAACGCTTCGGTTCGCTCAATAACTGTGCTTTTTCTAATAATTACTTCGCTTTATATATGTAAGTTATATATAGTGGTATCATAAGTAGTGGGTCCCATCTTCGGACTAGATCTAGCAGAGGTACAAATATTATAATGTGCAAAGTTTGGGTTAAATCGGAAATTGCATTCGATTGGTATTGAATTAAAACATTTTCGAAATATTGAAACTTTTTGGGAAGGAAGGAGTGAACTGATGGGTCTCATCTTCGGTCATAATCTAGGATATTGCATTCGCTTGGTATTGAATTAACAAATTTTTAAAGTTTTAGACTTTGTAGGGGAGGTACCAGAAGGAGAATATCATGGGTTCCCATCTGCGGACATGATAAAGGTTTCGTAAAAGTATTACGATTTGCAAAGTTTGGATAAAATCGGACATTCCATTCGCTTGATATTTGATAAACAAATTATTAAGATTTTGACCCTTTGTAAGGGAAGTTTTCTTCGTTTTCGTTATTTTCTATATACAGCTCCATCAATTTTTAAAACACATATTTCTTCCATAATTTTCATAAATTATTTATTTCCAATAATTTTTCAATTTTCATTTGAATCCCATTCCCATATCAAAAAGTAAATCCCCTCATTATAATTGATAAGAAATCATATGGCGTTGCCAACTCATTTATCACACACATCATCATAATCGCTAATTATCGATTACCCGGGATAATCGTCTTTAGGCGTCTGACATCTCCAACACAACAGTTGGAGTTTGAAAATTCACGGTTAAACTACGCAAAAAGTGAAGTTCGGTCAATTAGTTCTCAGATTTTCGCTAAAAACATGTTTAAAAACATCGCGATTAACATTGAAAATCCCAAAAAGCCATTAAGCAATTTGGATTATGGCATTGTTGAAACAAAATACGGACCAATGGTTATGGGCTATAATGTTGCAGATAATTTCCTCCATATTGCCTATTTTCATTTTGTCCAGGGCAAAGCTATTGAACATTTTGCTGCCGATATGAAGAGACGTTGGCCCGGAGTGTTGCTGAAGGAAAACTCCGAAAAGGCACAGCAGTCGTTTGAGGCGTATTTTCAGAAACAAAAGCCACAACAACGTGAAATCTATGTCATATTGACGGGAACAAAATTCCAAATTAAAGTCTGGTCGGCATTGTTGAAAATACCCTATGGTGAGGAGAGAACCTATAATGAAGTGGCCACCATGATTCGAATGCCAAAATCTGTGAGAGCTGTGGCCAGTGCTATCGGTCGCAATGATATTGCCATTTTTGTCCCTTGTCATCGAGTAAAAGCTAAGAAAAATGACATGAATAAATATCGTTGGGGCAATGAACTGAAGAAGAAACTTTTGGCTGATGAGAAGTCAAAGAAATAAATGATCGTCGGATAGAATTCAAGTCCTGTACAGTGTTCCTTTTCTACAGTTCCAGTTTAGTTTTTTGTGTTAAGATTAAAATGTAATTATAACTAGAATTAGCTCTTCTGTTTGTTTATATCAATAAAATTGAATTGTTTTTAATTTTAAGGTGGATGGTGTTGGAGAAATGTATTGAATACAGAACGCGAATTTGTCTATTATACACCTGAAACTTAATACATCTTCAAGGTAGGTAAACACAATTTGTTATTATTTATTGTATTAAGACTCAAAATGAAAGTCAATATAATTACGAAGGATGCATGTGCAATGCAAAAGCTTATCCACATCCACAGTCTGCATCATTCTTAATTTAATTTCAAGCAAATAACAAATAGTATTCACTATTTGTACTAGAAGTTTTTGGAACAACTGTAGTTTAGTAAAAACGATCAGATTTTTCCAGAGGTATGTAATTTTTACCCTAGTTATGGGGACTTTCCTTGTTTTTGTAGGGTTCTAAGGCCCATATCTTTTGATCCACAACAGATACAGCCACATATTGCACCATTTTGGAAAGGGACTATAATGGGCCCCAAGTTCGACTTTTAGGGAGTTTTTCAAAAAAATCTGAGACAAAAACCCAGTTTTTTGGCACAGCTCATTTATTTGGGCCAAGGACGAACCCTATTGAAATCGGTTCAAATTTAGATATAGCTTCCATATATATTTTCCGCCGATTTAATGTAAATGTTGCACTAAAGTCCCTATATATCTTTCGATTTTCACGAAATTTGGTGTAGCCTACTGAATTAAGTCTAGAATGATGTGTGTTAAGTTTCGTGAAAATAGGTTCAGATTTAGATATAGCTCCCATATATTGTTTCGCCTGATTTTAGGTTAATGGTGCACCAAAGTCCCTGAAAATCTTTTGATTTGCACCAATTTTGGCATAGAGTAATTGGTGCGATATGTGGCTATATCTGTTGTGGATCAAAATATAGGGCCTTAGAAAACTATAAAGAGGAAATTCTTCAGAATCTCCTTTTAAATAGAATGTTTTTTTTTTTTCAAGTGGACGTACAGATACCATCCGGCTGCGCGACAGAAACTCCTTTTAAATAGAATAGTTGTTTGAGTAGGCGGCCTTCGGCCGAGGATTTAAAATATTCCCCTATGGACAGATACCAACATCGACTACGCGACAGAATCTCCTGTTGAATAATAGATTTGTGGGAAGCCGGCCTTCGTCCGAGGATGTAAGACTTTATCCCATGGACAGGCTACACGACAGAATTTCCTTGTATTTGTTGTTGTCTTTTGATTCACAATAGATACAACCACATACCGCACCAGTTTGGAAAGGGCAAATTGTGGTCTATTATTGGTGAGGGACTATAATGGACGCATGTTCGACTTTTAGGGCGTTTTTTAAAACAAAACCAATAAAACGGGGTCCAAAACCTAGTTTTTTGACTGTATATCCAAAGCGGTTTGAGATAATCCCTTTATATCACCACTCAATGGAAATTGATACCCATTTTATAATAACCGAATCCGTGGATCCGGGAAGTTCGGGTACTTGTACCCCAACTTCCGGGTCAAATAACCGTCCCCATGACAAAAATATCCCCATAATTAGCGTAAAAATAACTACCAATGGAAAAATTTCAGAAAAATCTGATCTTTTTTACTCAACTAGAGTTAAGCCCAAAAAACAGACAAAAAAGTTGTTGTTCAAATTATTTCATAAATGTGGACTTATCATTGGCTAAAACCAATAAATGTTTTCTTTGGCCAGAACCATGTCCATTGGTCCATAACTGGAACCTGTATTAATTTGTTCACAAATTATAATGGACAGCCGGACGAACACACATGTCTAGATCGACTCAGCTAGTCGAGCTATCACAAGCTGAAAGGTGGGCCTATAACTAATTTAACGTCAACAATTTAAAGATTTCAAATTTGTGTGGGTTGGTAAAGAGTTGAAGAATACAAATTGAGCCTTGAGACTGCCTAACACATTTGTGTGCATTAATCGAAATTGCTACATACTTTTTTAAAGTTTGAACTTGTAATACTTCAGATTTAGTTAACACATTAATGATTGGAATGCATTTGCGTCCATGATTTTTTTAACTAAATAAAATTATATTGCAAATTTCAAATCTCGTTTGGACATTAATCCCAACCCAAATACCCAGATGAGTAAACAGCCACTTCCTATATTTAAATCATTTATTTCTTTTACAATGTAATTGGCATTACATACAAGTATCTCAATTTGGCCTTCTACAAAGATACATTATAAAATACTTTGAAGTATTATCTTTAGATTATTTACCAACAAATAATGACTCATTTTGTGGCAATAGAAAATATGAAACCAACCAACAAAAAAATCTCTGATATGGACTGAACTCAGCCTACAACAAGAATTGTATTACTTTAAATTTTTCCATATACAAAAGTGGACAAAATGGCGTGGCTCTTGTCAAAGATCAAACAATGCAAAAAACGTATGGCCCAACAGATATATTGCCGCTATAGACATAACATCACACCAGAAGCAGCAGCAGAACACACATAAAATGTCACACGAAGAATGCATTTACTTTGGTCAGTCAGCCATCAGCAGGAAGGCTGGCTGGCAGCAGTCACAGCCAGGCAGTGGACTGCTTGCTTGTTGAAGTAGTTCACTCACTCACTGACTGCTGCTGCTCTGGTTGGTGTGTACGTACGAATGTTGTTTGTTCTTCATACCTACATACGAACGTCGTATGTACGTAGTACATATGTACACATGCAGACACACATACACACATTGCACATTTCTTGCTCCCTTTTTGGCATTACGTAAAGTTTGGTATACATATCTCATCCCCCAGAAGTAGAGGTTATAATTAGATGAGAAGAAGATATTCTACAACGGCTGCAGGCCAAAAGTACCACCACAATGACGACGACAAGAAATCAATACAAAAAAACGTAAAATCTCCATCTTGTTTACAAGTGTGTCTCGACTACCTACTCTACTACATACCATCAATTCCCAGGTGATTGCATCCAGAAACTCCTCGGGTATTTTTAGTGTTGAACTTTGATTCAATTCCGGTATGGATCTGGATGGTGACCTCTGGCCAGCATCCTCCTGACGCGCTGCATGGTCATAGGGATTGGTGATTTCATTCCAAATGCTCTTAATCAATTCACGATCTGCCTTGTCCAACGAACGGGCTGGTAGACCCCAAATTTGCACCTTTCTCAGTACGGGTGGGCACTTGTGGGTTGCCCTTATTGTTAGTTTAATACTTTTGGTATTCGATAGCATTTTGTGGGCAGTCTTGAAAAAGAACACCGTTTCGCTGGGTTGCTGCTGCTCCGAACTTTTCGAATTGTAGTCACTCTGATAGCAGAATGTCAGCGAATCGACATCTTTGGCCAAGTCACGTACATAAGCCACCCGTTCCCAGATGCCCTCGTATTTGCCATGAACTTCGAATGCTGTCGACCGCAAAGCCCCATGACTATTCCAAAGTTTAATAACCTTCAAATCGATGGCCTTGGGGAAGTCAAACACGATTTCTACCGGGGGCTTGGTCACATTGAAGGCCATAAAACCACGCTGGAGCTGTTCCGCATCGTCGGCTATCAGGTTGGAGACACTATAACCATCCTCACAGACCGCTTCACACTCGACGGAGGGTTTTAATTTCGGATTAAGGAAATTTATTAAACTCATTTAAGAAGTAGCAGACCCGTACGTAGAACAATAGCAGTATGGCGATACAATACAAAAATCGAATCACGACGACGACTAATGTTTTTTTAAATTACTACTCAAAGCAACGCACTCTGACACACGCACACACGGCAGGAATGCAAAGCAGCAGAACACAAAACCGACGACAGGAGCAATCTGGAGGAAATGATGATATTAACAACTGTTCTCCTGTCGTATCCGACTACCCTTTGCACTTGTATTGGAGTCGGTCGGGGCTATGCAGCAGCGGTGGTAGCAGTATAAAAATGTCGGAATTAATTATGATTTATGTATAAAAATGGCGTCACCGACGAGGTCTTCTTGTAATTACAAGTGTTGGATAGAAGACAATAATCGATTTTGCAGTCACTACCACCACACAAACACAAACAAAACAAAGTGAAGTTGGTTGCAATTCCAGATGTCGACAAAAACAAAACAATGGTCGTTTCGCTGAACTGCGTTGACATTGGGAGCGTATGGCGTATGACTACAATTGGCAGGGAATGATTTGATGATTAGTTGTACGATACGAGTATAGTCGCTCTGATAGAATTTTAAAAAGCCAGAAAAAAAAATTAAAATAAAACCAATGTTGAATATATGTTACAGCTTTATATAATCCACAAACGAATGTCCTTTAAAGCTCCATATGACGCTGACAGACCTAAATAAAAATCCACCTTTATAGCAATGTTAGTCCCTCATGAAATAATATTCAAAAGTTTATGCTTATACATATCATTACAGTTGTCCATAAAATAATATAAAAAAACAAGCTTTAATATTCCATAAAAAATGTTTAAAAACCCACGTTTATAGCTTTATTATTCCTCCATAAAATAATATTTAAGAAATCACACTTATGGCTCTGATAGTCGTACATAAGTTTTTCTTTCAAAATCCTCGCTTTTAGCCATGACTGTCCTTCATAAAATAATATTTTAAAGTCCACCCTAATAGCTCTAATAGTCCTCCATAAAATAATATTTTCAAATCCACGCTTATAGCTCTGGTAGTTCTTCATAAAATACTGTTACGTTCTTGGATTTTGCTAAATCCCGTGTAGACGTTGTTTTATTTCCCGATACAATTCGTACCAAATAAAACGCGGGTTCTTTCAGATTACGATTATTACAATGACTTTATTCACACAACTTTACTTTGCACTTTACTTTACACGACGGTTTCAATTCGCGATCTGATTCACAACTGACTCACTGCCTTTCCATTTCCCCTATTTATATGAGCCTTGCTTCTCGCTACAGAAGTTTCTAGACGATCTGGTAACACCTAGATCACGAACAATCTACCAATGCAACAAACACATTGAGTAACAATAACAACAACAAACTTACTGAGTGAACAATAACAACAACAAACTTGAGTAAACAAACTTACAATAACAACAACACATATACAGGCGAGGGAATAACAAAGAAAGAGGAATAACAACAACACATATACAGGCGAGGGAATAACAAAGAAAGAGGAATGACGTTTAACAAGAATTGTACGACAATAACAAAATAGAAAATGAAAGAGGAAATGGAAGGATGTAGAAAAATCTATACAGTAGTTGTTGTTGTGAAGTTATTCAAATAAACTGCGTAGTAGAAATTTACGTTACAGTTCAAATTCTTAAATTAACGGAATTCTTAACTTAAATCTAAAGTTATATTCGTAACATTGCCCCCCGCTTAAGCCTGTTCGTCCCGAATAGGCACAGTTCCCGTTCCGTAGGGGGCCAGCCGCTCCAAATGTACAACTTTCATCTTCGACCTGGGACTGTCACTCCTCTGGATGCGATAAACGACGTCATTTATTTTCGTGACAATCTTGTAGGGTCCTTCCCAGTGCGTTTGCAATTTGGGGCATAGTCCTTTCTTTCGTTGTGGGTTGAACAATAGTACCAGTTGCCCTTCTTGAAACCCATCGGTATTTGCCGCTCGATCGTACCTTGCCTTCATGCGGTTGCTAACCATTTTTATTCGATGGCGAACTGCATCGTGGACTTTACTAAAGGAGTTTTGACTGTCTTCATCTTGGTTCACATCGTCGTTTGGGGTAGCACCGAATATCAAATCGCCAGGTAGCTTTAATTCATTTCCGAACAGAACTTTGGCTGGGGTCCGGGATGTGGAATCATGAATGGCCGATCTATAAGCCAGTAAAAACTTTGGAATATGCTCATCCCAGTCTCGTTGGCCACTGTCCACCACTTTCCGTAGATGTTCTTCCAAGGTGCGATTGAATCTCTCCACCATGCCATCTGATTGTGGATGTAGGGGCGTCGTTCTGGTTTTCTTGATTCCGTAGGAGTCACACATTTCCTTGAAGACCGCTGATTCAAAATTCCTACCTTGATCGGAATGAACCTCAGATGGAACACCATAGCGACAAATCCAATTTTTGCTGAACACATCCACAATTGTCCTGGCTTCTTGATTTGGGATAGCATAAACCTCTGGCCATTTACTGAAGTAATCCATGACCACTAAGACATACCGGTTCCCAGAGTCGCTTGTTGGGAACGGTCCAGCTACATCCATTGCGATTCTTTCAAAAGGGGCTCCTGAATTATGCTGCTGCATGTAGCCTCGACTCTTCCGTGTTGGACCTTTAGCTCTTATGCACCTTTCACAATTGGCGATCCAGTCGGCAATGGATTTTTGACAGCCGACCCAGTAGAATCTCTGCTTTACCTTTTCAGCGGTCTTTGCTATGCCAAGATGTCCTCCACTTGGCCCATCGTGAAACTCCGACAAGACATCCCTTATTTTGGAGTCTGGGACGACGATCAAGTTCCGGTGAGATTTACCGTCCTCACTTTCCCATTTGCGGTATAAGCAACCATCTATTATAAGTAGACTGTCCCACTGGGCCCAATAGGATTTTAAAAGAGGGCTTTCGGAGGTAATTTCTTTCCGACTAGGTCGCTTGCCCGTTTCTATGGTCGAAATTATTTTGCCCAGAATGGGATCTCTTCGTTGTTCCGTCGACCAATCTTCTCCCGACTCAAACTGCAATCGTCGGACGTCCACGATATTCTCTTTGCTCTCAGCCTTTGAGCAGTGGCTGTATTCTACCTTGCATGGCCGACGAGACAGGGCATCAGCATTACCGTGTTTTCCGTCTTCTCTGTGCTCGATTCTGTTCAACGGTGACTCATTGGTGGACTGTTGAGCCATTCTTCTACCATCTTTCGTTGTAGGTGGTGACGATGACCTGGATCGTTTGCGCTTAGCTCTGCATTCGCGTGCAATATGACCTGCTTTATCGCAGTTGTAGCATCTAACCCTGGGCTTAGTCATCCCTACTAACTTTGTTTGTTCTATTACCCGCCTCATGGCGTCCTCGATCGAGTTAACGAGAGATTTGGGTTCGAAACTTTCGGTCTCCAGTTGGCGAATCTTGTGGGTCTGGGGCTTAACAATTATTCTTGCCGTCTCTTGGGCAAGGGCAAACGACACGGTTTCGGCAAATGACGTTTTTGGTGACGCATATGTTGCACATTTAATCTCAGGGTCACGTATGCCATTCACAAAGGTTTCGATTTTCATACGGTCCACCAATGGGTGATTCTCTCCTGGATACGCCATTAGCACCAAACGTTCCACCTCAGCTGCAAAGTCTTGCAACGTCTCGTTTGCCCTCTGCACTCTTCCCCTTAATTCCATAAGGTAGATGTTTTGTTTATGTTCGCCACCGTACTTACGTTCCAGTGCAGCAATAACATCTTCATAGTTGTTTCTAGAAGCGACAGGAATACTCTGTATAACATCAGCAGCACTGCCCTTCAATGCCAGAAGTAGTGCAACCGCTTTGTCGCTGTCGTTCCACGAATTTCTAGAAGCCACTGTCTCGAACTGTAACTTGAAAACATTGAATGACGTAGAGCCGTCGAATACAGGAGGTTTGATTTTTAGTGTGTTATCAGGAACTCGCACCGGACCACCCTTAATTTCCAGTTCTGATATTTTCTTCTCCAGATTCGTAACCCTGTGGTCGTGGACCAGAAATTTCTCATCCACAGACAGAATCTTCTCGTCAACCGACTGCACTTTCTTATCCAACTCTTTTATTTGGACCTCCACGGTTTCCACTCTCCTTCCAATAACTTCTGTAATGTTCTCGAGTTTATCCATCATTCTTCTCGAATTTTCCTCGCTCCTTCTGTAATTTTCCTCAAACATTTTAGCCAGCATTTCTCTTAAATCGTCACCCCTGGTAGCTACTGACGAGGCTTCCCCACCGTTGGATTCGCTAATTTCCGATAAATCCACTTCATCCTTACTGTCAAACTCATATGTATCGATGTCCATACCACGGCGCTCGAACTCATCCAACAGACGTTTTTGTAGCTCAGCCTTGTTGCCAGTAGAGGACAATTCCAATTTATTGAGCTCCTTCTTCAAGTCTTCCACTCGTAGATCCTTAAACTTCATCGTAGTATTATCGTAATCTCACTTCCGACACCAATTGTTACGTTCTTGGATTTTGCTAAATCCCGTGTAGACGTTGTTTTATTTCCCGATACAATTCGTACCAAATAAAACGCGGGTTCTTTCAGATTACGATTATTACAATGACTTTATTCACACAACTTTACTTTGCACTTTACTTTACACGACGGTTTCAATTCGCGATCTGATTCACAACTGACTCACTGCCTTTCCATTTCCCCTATTTATATGAGCCTTGCTTCTCGCTACAGAAGTTTCTAGACGATCTGGTAACACCTAGATCACGAACAATCTACCAATGCAACAAACACATTGAGTAACAATAACAACAACAAACTTACTGAGTGAACAATAACAACAACAAACTTGAGTAAACAAACTTACAATAACAACAACACATATACAGGCGAGGGAATAACAAAGAAAGAGGAATAACAACAACACATATACAGGCGAGGGAATAACAAAGAAAGAGGAATGACGTTTAACAAGAATTGTACGACAATAACAAAATAGAAAATGAAAGAGGAAATGGAAGGATGTAGAAAAATCTATACAGTAGTTGTTGTTGTGAAGTTATTCAAATAAACTGCGTAGTAGAAATTTACGTTACAGTTCAAATTCTTAAATTAACGGAATTCTTAACTTAAATCTAAAGTTATATTCGTAACAATACTTTTTAAGAATCCATGCCTATTGCTTTAATAGTGCTTCATAAAATTATCGTTTAAATAGTTCAGATAGTCCTTTATAAAACGATTTTTAAAATCAAATATAACAAGTGAAAAAACGTTAAGTTCGGACGGGCCACACTTTGGATATAGATATACTGACAGATACTTGAAAATATAGGGAACATACCAAAAAGTGAACATATGGTAGAATACGCCTATATGTGGACAAACCCTACACACGGAATTAATTAGCTTAGTATTTTAATATAAGAAGGTGGTTATGTGGGAACTACCCCTAAAAGGGGGGAGAATATTAATAATTTTTGATAGGAAAATTTATTACCATATGCGACTACAAAATACCAAATTACGGATTCCATTGAAAAACGCGTTCACGAACCCAAAATACCGAAAATTTAGGGTGTATTATATGGGGGCTACCCGAAAAAATGGGCCTATAATTATAATTTTTAGTGAAGAAATTTGGTACCCAATGAGAACCCACCGTACCAAATTTCAGCGAATATCGAAATTTGGTGGTACCCTTATATGGGGGCTATGCCTTAACGTGGACCGATATAGACTATCTTCGACCTGCCTCCAGACAAAAGACGATTCTATGCAAAATTTTGGCGATCTATCTCAATTCCTTCAGAAGATAGCGTGATTATAACAGGACGGACATGGCTAGATCGTTTTAGTATTTTACCCTGATCAGGAATATATACATATATACTTTATAGGGTCGGAAATGAATATGTCGATGAGTTATAAACGGAATGACAAAATTAATATACCCTCCATACTATGGTGGAGGGTATAAAAATCCACGCTTATAGTTCGGATAGTCCTTCATAAAACGATTTTTAAAATCAAATAGAAAAATCAATGCTTATAGCCTTAAGTCCTTAATAAATTTCTTCTTTAAAAATCCACGCTTATAGTTCGGGTAGTCCTTCTTAAATTTCTTCTTTAAAAATCTACCCTTATAGTTCTGGTAGCCGCCCATAAATTTCTTCTTTAAAATCCACGCTTATAGTTCGGGTAGTCCTTCTTAAATTTCTTCTTTAAAAATCCACGCTTATAGTTCGGGTAGTCCTTCTTAAATTTTTTCTTTAAAAATCTACCCTTTTAGTTCTGGTAGCCGTCCATAAATTTCTTCTTTAAAAATCCACGCTTATAGTTCGGATAGTCATGAATAATTTTTTTCTTTAAAAATCCACGCTTATAGTTCGGATAGTTCTTATCAAATGGTTTCTTTAAAAATCCACACTTCTAGTCCAGGTTCTGGGTTCGTCCACTAGCTGCAGCAACAGATCTTCCACTATATGTTGAGTAGTACAGGTCTGTACCATATATTGGGTAGATATTTTGCACATGAACCCTTACTCAATACGAATTGAGACAACTGCACCATCCTTAATACAAATTAAGCCAAAACTACTGATTTGTCTAGGCAGCCGATGCTGTTCAGCTGCGATTATTGAAGGCTGAGCTCCGAAGAAGACATTATCTTTGTACTCATTTTACATGTCCATTTTGTATCGTTTTTCTCTCTTCCTACATCATGGATATGATTCCTGGATGATTATCACTAAGACACCCATGTAGGCATATTTCTATGCTGACGGAATGGAAGGGTCTTCATATCATCATGATGATTATTCACAGGAGTCATGAGGAGACATTTTGTTGCAGTTGTCAGGTCGGCGTTCTGTCAAGTCTGAATACTTCTTCATTGCGTATCACACTGGCGCTGCATAACTGACCACGGACCGTCTTGTTGATTTATAAGAAGTCAACAAGGTTTCCTTACATGTGCTTTGTTCCTATTTTTTAACTTATCCCACATATCTGTGTTGTACGCAGACAATCGAAGGTGACACCGAACATTTTGGGTTTTTGAATGAAGGAGCACTCCTTGATTTTCATCTCCGCAGTCCATTTAGAGATGAAAATCAAGGCTGTCAAATCGACGAAATAGATGCACATATGTCCTCTAGGATAGGATTTGTCGCTATGATAGTACAATCATCTCCATACTCAATGCCGTATGCGGGGCGTGGAATACCGGTGGAGCTTATACAGCTCCGGAGATATTACCCCACCCTGGGGAACTCCTTGTTTTACTCTACGTGATTTGGACATGTTATTCAGATTGGCGTCCAGAAATATATTATTATCCAACGTTTCAAAATTGGTTGGAGGCAAGTTTTATCGACGTCTTTAAACATTCTGTAATCAAAGATAGAATTTGATAGGTCATATGCGACCAACATTGTTCTATGCCACGGCCAGTTCTGGTTTAGTCCTCCGCTTATACTTGTAAAAATGGCGTGCAACTCAGCTGTTATACTGTAATGCTTATGAAACCCATATAGATGATAAATAGCTTTCCCTAATGCTGGGGATGACTCAAGAGTCTTCGACGAAAGTGTGATCGCCCTGTACGATTCACCTTTGCAGTTATCCCGACCTGGCTTCTGTAGGGGGACCACTTTACCACATTGACCACAGCACGACAAGTGATAGAGGTGAAATCATCAAATCATTGACATTGGTTGTAAAGATTTGTTTGGTATGTGATTTGGCCAATTGGGTGGAGATTTGTTTTAAACTGGGCGAATCTCGGTCATTTTCCAAATATTTTATAAATTCATCGGCAAAGTTTGTTGTCAATGTCATCTGCAGAGATCGAGTATATCTCTGATGTTCTTTCATAAAATTACGATCTTACAGTAAAAAATTATTTTTTTTAATTCATGTATTTTTTCATTGTTTAATATATCTTAAAATAGCATTTGTTTAATTACATATAAGAGAGTAACAATTGAGGTAATGGAAGCTGTTAGGGAAGCTGCACCATCACCACCGGGTGGTTTTGTTGAGGGTTCTGGACTTGGTGGGGCAACTGTTGGTGCTTCGGTGGGTTTTTCAGTGGGTTTGTTCAACTAAAAATAAAAACCACAAAATATTAGGAAACAAAAATAACAACTTCTGAAATCTCCATATATATAACATACCGATTCCGAGAGTTTAGCCTTCAATTGCTTGCAACGTGTTGTTTCACCATATTCAGAGGTTACCAAAGCACAAATTGTATTCAACATACATTTGTTATTGCAACCAGCTTGTAATTTGGGATCAGCCGAAGTAGCTTTGTATTCCCAGTACTGGAGGAAGAAACAAGAAATGGTAATTATTTGTTTTGTTCAGTTTTTTACATTTATACTAACCTTGCGTAAAATTTCAGGTTGTTCGGCCATTTTTTCAAAGAGAGCATCAATACCAGCTGGACTCAAATCATTGGTGAATTCAGAGAATTGATATTCCTTGTACCAAACAGGAGCACGATGTGCGCCATGTTCATTGGCTTCGGTCAAATTGAAAATGTAGGTGGAGTGATCAACAACTTGCTGTAATTCGAAAAAAGAAAACAATTTGAAATGTCCTCATTTAAAAGAATTCTGAAGAAGAAACTTACATAAGTTTCAGGTTCAACTTCATAGGTGCGATAATTGGGATTCTTATAGGAGTATGTAGTCAAACTGCCACCGTTCCATGAAATAGCCATGGGATAACCCATTTCCGAATAATGCAAAATCATTTCATCCTTGTGGGTGTGACCATTGAAGATGGCGCTAATGGTATCACTGAAACGCTCAATAATGCGATTATATTCACGAGCCCAAACCGACCAGCAGTCAGAACTGCCCGATGGAATGTGAGCCAAAATGTGCACTTTTTCACCAGCCTTTTCGGCAGCCAAGAGTGTGTCATGCAGCCAATCCAATTGAGGTTGGGATGTTTTGCTGCCATCATAGAAGACCCAGAAATTCAAGATATAACAATCGTTATTATTCAATGCAATAATACGGAATCCGGGTTTTGGCGAGACGGTATAGTAGCCACCCTTCAATACGGTTTCTTTCGCTTCAGCTGGTAGCCAACGTTGCCAATTGCTCCATAAATGTTCGTACAACCAACTTACAGCCAATTCTGATGGAACTTCGTTGTGACCGAAGCTGGAAAAAGAAACAATATTTAAAAAATTTTATTGAAATCCGATTAAAATCAAAAGATCAAATACTTTGTGGGTATTTTCTGTACTCTTCATGGTGTGAATTTTTAAATTTTATAATTCTTACAGAAAATTAAGAAAGTCGAACCTCCAGGAATCTTCTACTAATCATAGATTCGAGAAGGGTTAGGAGACCAACAAGTTTACTTTTTTTAATTTTATAATTCTTACAGAAAAATAACACAATCGAACCTCCAAGAATCTCCTACTAATCAAAGATTCGAGAACGATTGAAGACCAATTTATAGTTTATACTCACACATTAGTTGGATGAGGTTCATGATTGCCAACAATGGGGTAGATTGGAATACCAGGGAATTTCTCGGCCATCAAATCATTAATTTCCGTCAACATGGCTTTATTGCTTTCCTTGGTTGTCGACCAAATACTATGTGGTACAATATCACCAGTTTGATAGATATAATCAATTTTGGGATGATTTTTCTTTACATTATCAAAAGCATCCTTAATCATATATAAGGGTGGATCACAATCACGATAATCACTCCAGTAGCCAGCCTGAGCTTCTACAGAAATACCACTAGCGGGTGTTACACGGCAGCACAAGGGTTCTTCACAATCAGCCAACGAATCAGCCTTATATTCAGGATCATAATGGATATCAGTAATTTGAACAATTGTCAAATCATTATCAGTCTTTTTGGGTACAGTGGCTTTCGGCCCTGTCATCAGTCCCTTACTGGCATCAACTTTTACGCTCCAGTTATACTGTTCTTGTTTGATCGAGCAGAAACTAATGGGCAACATACCGCACATGGAGCGAGCATCACCATCAGTATTCATAACAATATAATGGACAATATCCCAGTACAAATCGAACAAACCAGAGCAGACTTCTTGAGTTTGAATATGCAAACGATCACATAGCATTAACAAAACCTTCTTAGTGTCTGCTTCAGCAGTTGGACCATTAAGTTCGCCCTCACTGGAACGGAAGGTACGGCCAACAACATTGGCCACAGCACGACAAGTGGTACAGGCGAAAAATTGATTAATAGCACTTAATTCATTGGCATTGGTTGTGAAAATCTCCTTGGTATGGGATTTGGCCAATTGGGTAGAGATTTGTTTTAAACTGGGCGATTCAACGCCAGTATCCAAATATTTCATAAATTCATCCGCAAATTTGTTGGCAATGTCATCTGGAGAGAGAGAGAGAGAGAGGGGGAATTGAAGATGAAATTTATTTATAATTAGTTTTTGAAAGTTGTTTAAGTCCATTTAAGATTCTGACACAAAGTCTTGGTTTTCTAGAAAAGTTTAGAAAACATGGTACATCATGTTTATGGGCATAAAACCACAAATAAAATTAATTCCACTTAACAAGAAAAAATCTAACCCTAACCTTTTAAGATATCAATATAAGAAGTCCATTAAGGCTTCAAATTACATTTTGTTTAAATAAATAAATAAATAAAATTGACTTAAACAACTTTCAAAATAAATATTCATATAGTAATCGTTCTAATGTTTGTTTGTGCGATTCTTTTCTAAAGTCCATCTGCAATGTGTTTTTTTATATTCTGATCAGATTATTAACTACTTTTCAAAAAAGATAAGCGAATGAGTTTAATTATAGCCACTAAAACTTTAAACACAATACAATTTTTTTTTATTATTATTTTCATTTTCAATATCATTTGCCAACACAGGTAGTAACAAACTCATTCACTTATCTTAAGTATTATTGTTAATCTGTTCTGATAGACCCATCGCAGCTACTTGTATTTAATATAGATTACTATACGACACATGTGTATGTGAACGAAATTGCGATAACATCAATCAACTATTATGAAAATTTGAATATTCTATGTTTTTAGAGGTAACAATTTTAAATATATGATGCAAAGATTATAAGAGATAATAAATTAAATATAGATTTGGGATATAGATACTGAACAATAAATTATAACCTATAATATATGGAGAATTAACTAGTTCTGATATATTACGTGTATAGGTTGCACTTTCCCAACCACTTTAGGTTTTTAATTATGCTGAAGATTAGAGCAGGTTCAGTTGGTGAGAAGAATCTAAGACTCGGTGGAAAATGAGCATCCACTAGTCTGTGCCACCTCTAAGCCAGGGCTGGACAGTGACAAAGGAGATGCTCAATTGTTTTCGTCTCAATTGTCTCCGCAGAGTCTACAGTAATCAATTGCATCATGATCCCATTTACTAGTATAGGCCCTGATATTGCAGTAATGATTCCTGTCATTACTCTTTGCTCAGGTTCAACACTGAGTGTGTCCTTTTGATAGACAGAGTCGGCCAAATGGATCTTGACACATTGCACCTAGGTTAGTTGTGCCAAAGTTCATACGTTCTTTCGTCGAATAACGCCTCAAATTTCCGATAAAGATGACATTTGGGTGGTTTGATTGAGTCATCAATTGCTAGATCTGTGGATTGAGATCCTCCTCTAGCTAATTCGTCTGCTCTTTCATTACCCAAGATTTCACGGTGTCCTGGTACCCAACACAGCCGACAGGGACGGCCTCAGATTTTATATAACAAGATTTGATGAGTTTAAGAGCCTCTTGACTATCCACGTCGATAGTCACCGGTTTAAAGACGTCTGTATCCAGTCTTTTTATCAATTCTGCTGCCTTCCAAATCGCGAAGATTTCAGTTAGGAAAACACTACCGTTGCTATCCAGCTTATAGGTAAGCTCAAGGCCTAGCCTTTCACAGTAGAAGCCAGCCTCTGTACCTTCTATCTTGGGTCTGTCTGTATAGAAAGCCAGATCGTCTACATCATATAGTCGATGGTTTTAGCCCCCAGCTTTTCCCCCATGGAGTTCTTGCATGCATAGAGTGCAATCAGCCCTCTCTTCGTTCCTTGGCGGACTTTCCCTTCTTTCCGCTTCAACCGCTTCACCTTTGTCCCTAAGCGTAAAATCGGGCTTTGAGACTGAGCCCTCCACACGTTGAGCACCCTTATAGGTGACATTTTGTTTCGGGATGTTCTCAGAAGCCTTTTCATTTGCCTTTTGACTAGGTTTAGGCTTCGAGCTAGTCTTCAGATCTGAAGTCGTCATTGGGTGATACATATTTAGGCATAGTCCCGATATATATGAAGTTCCTAGAATAATTTTTGAAGTGAGGATGGATCTCCATGCTTAACATAACTCTGGGTAAAAATGTCAATATAAATCAATATTCCATATAAAGCTCTGGTCCGATTTCTTATAATTTAAGTACAATGACTGCAATGAAGTGGTTGTCAGAGTCTACAAATCCTGAAGATGAGTCTTTTTGTCATTGCTTCATTGTAAATATTTCACTTGTTATTTTTGGGTCCTCAAGGGGGAGAGGAGAATATAACAAGATCGGCCCGAACAAACGTAATGTTTTCAATACCAAACCCAATTATGTTTTATAAGTTCGTGTAGCCCCTGAGGCCCACAATTTAGTGTACCGATCTCGACTAAATGAATCGATCTAGAAAAGTTCACCGTCCGTATGTCTTTCCATTACAATTTTAAATAAAAGTACGGGCTTCAATTATGGACTGATCGTCGAGTTTATTTTTATAAATTATCGGTTCTGACAAATGACGATTCTTATATTTATTGGCAAGGGCTCGTCCGTATGTCCATTATATTTCGTAATCAAAGTACACACCGCCGCTATGGATCAAATTTTCACAATGTTTTGGTGTGCAGTTCAAATTATGACCAAAGATACTCGCTTTTTGATTTGAATAAAAACTCAATAGTTTTTTTGTGCCCCGAAAACGACTGTGTAGAAGTTACAATAATAAAAAAATTTATAGAAATTCCCTGAGATAATGGTTGTTTATCAGGTGGGGTATTGCCATTTTTGTATGTAGGGTTTTTACAGACAGGTGTCATCAAATTTATTAATTTGTTCACCAATTATAATTATCATCTTTCATATTTCTTGAAGCAAAAAATTAATATTTCTTAGGAAAATATTCTTAAAAATTCACTCCAGTTTTTCAAGTAATAAGTAAAATAAAATACATAGTATAATTATATAATTATAGTTATGTGTAGTTTTACGTTTCCAAAAAAAAAAGATTTTTTTTATTTTTATTTCCTTTCGGAAAAATAATTCTCAACTCACCCGAAATAGCTGAAATAACGGCATCATCTTCGCTAAATTCCAATGGTACACCGGGTAAGTTTAAAGCACTTGCTGTAATGGCCAGCAAGGCCAATAATACGAATTTCCTTAACATAATTCCGCAAAAACACGATCTAAACTGTTTCGAGTCTAAAGATGGACTAAATTTCAGTCTATCGATTTGCCTATTAAAAACAAATATAACGGTTTAACAAAATAGTTAATAAATAACCTGGCGGCTATAATATAGATTAAACACTTGTAGATTAGGGTGCACACATCAAAACATACATAATATTATGTATTAGTCTTATCTGAAGTTTAATTTTATTTTCCATGAGCACAAAAATTCAATATCATTGTGCAGAAATGAGAAAAAACTCGTATAAAACGTTGGGGGTATGTACTTTAGGGAATTAAGCAGCAAATATATAAAGTTGAAATATTTCAAAAATATAAATGAAATAATATTTTGTTTATTGATTGGTATTCCAAAAGATCTTGATTATAGGTGTAGTTATATGTTTTAAGGATTTTTTCTAGTCTTTGTATATATACAAAGAATTATACATAGAATTATTTAGTAATTCCCACAGACTTTTCACAAATGTATAAAACAAGAGCGCATAACTCCTCCAAACTTGTTTTTATAAAACTTTAAATACAATTATTTATATAAATAATTATTAATAACAATCCAAGGTTATCCTGATATAGTCCTTTAAAAAATCCGTAAAAGTCCAAGGTTATGGCTGTGTGAAAATTCCTTAAAAATCCAAATTTATAATTATTGCTATAAAAATTCACACATTTTGCTGTGATAGATTTTTAAAAATATTCTTTGAGAAAGTCCACGCATAGTGCTCTGGTAAAAATTGTCATTAAAAAATCCACTCGAACGGCGTGAGACTTTGGAGGTACATCGCGTTAGTGTGGACTATTGTCCTCATAAATGATTGTCATAGACTTCTAGGAATTCGGTTTTGTTTGTGAAGTGCTTCAGTTTTTTTTTTCATTCACAGTCTTTAGGTCGGTTATATTAGAAATGGTGTAATTTCCTAAGAATTGGATTCGGAAGCTTGAAAAGGCTGGGCAGTGGCACAGGAAGTGTTCTAACGTTTCGCTTTCTTCTCCACATGCTCTACACCAGTTGCTTCCCTCGCATCCAATCTTTTGCAGGATGTTATGTCCTGTCTGTTGGTTTTCTTTTTGTTTTGTTTGTCATTTGGGTCTCCTCATGATTTTTTTGTGTTTTTCCCAGGTCCCTAGCTATTCCAGAGGCGTTGTACTAAAATATTTGGCATTATTATTTACATCTATTGTATATCGGTCGGATGCACTTCTGGTGAGTAGAGGAGGTGATGCAAATGTGGTATACCCATTTGTTTTTAGATTGCCAAATTTTTATTTTTTATCCGATAAAATTGAACTTTTACGGTTAACATGCTACATGTGTTGTCTTTCCATGTATCAATTTGAAAATAATATTATTCTAACAATTTAAGAGATATTTGAGAAAATATTTGAAATTCCATTAAAAGTGATTTAAAAAAAGTGATGTGTATACCACATGATGTTAATGTGGTATATTTTAATTTTCACTTCCAATTGATATCTTATATAATTTATTGTTTTTAATGAATGCGAATTAGCTCAGAATTATGTCTATATTTGTTTTTAACGGATACGTTGAGGTCCTTTAATTTATATTGATAATAATGTACACATGGCAATATTTAATTTTTGCATGGAGACGTTGTTAAAACTCATAGCCTTTGTTTTGCCTTTGATTCATGGTACTCTTGTCCAAATGTTTCAAATAATTATGAGATATTGGCTAGTGCTGGCTTTTTTTCGCATATATTCCTTAGGTATACCACATTACCTGCACTTGTGTTTATGATTGTCTTGTTTTTTTCTAAATTGATCATTATGTGGTGCAATCGCGCATATCATTTGATTTTTAGTTCATACTAATTATTTTAATGCTTTAATAATAAAGATTAAAATACATCCGTAAAACAAAAAAATATTTTTAAACTTCAACCGAAAAAAAATAATTTTTATGAAAATTTTAATTTTTGCTACTGGTTTTCAACGTGATTTAAATAAATTAAACAGATCATTGCAATCTTTTTTTTTTTTTTTTTTGAGAACAGCAAACTATAGGCTACATGTTTCGGTTCACGTTTTCAGGTTACAGTTTCACCTCCACTATATTTTAGGTATTTTTGGGTTCTTGAGCGCGCTTTTCAACCGAATTTGCTGAAATTTAGTACATTGGGTTCATATTGGGTTCCAATTATCTCCACTAAAAATTATAAATATAGGTTCATTTTCTTTGGAAGCCACTATATAAGGGTACATTGGGTTCTAATTGGGTACCAAATTTCTCCACTAAAGAAAAAAAATAAACGTCCACTTTTTCTGGTAATCCCCATATAACGGCACCCCCTAATTTTTGGTACTTTTGGAGGTTTTCATTGTACTTCTCGACCGAATTGGCTCTAATTTAGTACTTTGAGTTCTCATTGAGTAGTAAATCTCTCCACTAAAAATTTTAAATATAGATCCGTGTGTTGGGGTTGTCCCCAAATAGGCGTATTCTACCATATTATGGAGCATATTTCTTACATGAATTTGTCAATTTTTACCCCTGGAATGCTTGGAATTCTAAGACGATTTAGTCTTCATTTGTAATCATCCCCACAAAGTATGGAATTCTAAAACGATTTAGCCACCTATGGTAATCATTCCACCTATTAATGATATCGTGTTAAAACACACGAACCTGACACTGATGAAATATATCGGCCAGCTTTTAGGCATCTCCCCCATTTAATTAAAAAACGGAAAGTATTGAGATATGATACTAAAATGTTGGGTTCGAAATTGCACTACATGGGTCATTAATTAGGCATAGCCCCTCAACCCCAAATATTCGCTAATTCCTAGCTATGTAATCAATATTGGTCCCCCCTTAGCCATAGCCTCATACAACTTTGCACTCTCAATTGCAGTTGTTTAAGGATTTCTTTCATGCTTTATCAATATCGGTTCATGTTTTAGAGGTTTCAGATTTTAGGAAAAAAATCACCCTTAAAAATCGCTGAAATTTGTATTAGGTAATTGTAAAAGGTTTAACATTGTCAGTATAGGACCACTTTTTAGTATATTCCCTATATTTTCATTTCAAGTACCTTTCAGTATAGCGATGATGGAGGGTATCCAAAATTCGACCCGGCCGAACTTAACGCTTTTTCCACTTGTTATACTTAAAGTCAGCCTTTTCCCTTACGTTTGTATTTTATTGATTAAAATTCCAGAAGTAATATATTATTTTATGACAAATAATATGGGGGTACCAAGGAGTTAGGCTGAACCTCAATTAAAAAAAAAACCCTTTGCATAAAATCGGACGGAACTATATATGGGAGCTATATCTAAATCCGAACCGATTTGAACGAAACTTAGCATACATCAATCTAGACCTAATTAAGTAATCTGTGCAAAATTTAGTCTCAATCGGAGCAATATTTGAAGTTTGGTGCACCCTCTACATGAAATCGGACGAAACTAAATCTGAACCGATTTTTCCCAATTTCAATAGGGTTCGTTTTTGGGCCAAATAAGTGAACTGTACCAAATTGCATCCAAATCGAATCATAATAGCGACCTGTACTTCGTCCACAAAAATACATGGGCGGACAGACAGACGGACGGACATGCGTAAATCGACTCAGAAAGTGATTCTATGCATATTCTCAAAAGCAACCATGGGTCTATCTCGATTCCTTTTGCCTGTTACAAACATATGCACAAAGACATAATACCCTGTATCACAGTGTGGTGAATTCGATTTCAATTTTAAAGATATCATTATATAGATTTAATGGCTTTTCGTGTAAGTTATAAGATTTAATATTTTTTTTCGATTTCAATAGTAAAAATATCATTTTGTTTATAGATGATATAGCTTTTCTTGGAAATTATAAGACTTAATATTTTTTTTCATAACTCAAAGACCGACCAGCATATAGTTTTAAATCGCTTTAACGGTAAACTTATTTCTCTGCATTCCCTCACCCTCCACCCATCCACTGCATCTGTGTTAGTCATTGAAAAAAAATATTGTTTACCAAAAAGTTGTGACAGCGGTGGGATTCGAACCCACGCCCTTTCGGACTGGTGCCTAAAACCAGCGCCTTAGACCGCTCGGCCACGCTGCCTGTTGATATGGCGTGATTGTTCAAGTGGGCACAGTGTTTACGAAATAAACCCTTTTATTTATTTATAAATAAATAATGATATACCTAATGAAGAAGGAGTTAAAGGTCATCGATGGGACATGAGACATTCTGTGGCGAATGATGAAGTAATTAAATTAATTTAAAATTATTTAAGTGTTCGTTTTCGAGTTTAATGCTCGAAGTTTTCCAATGACAATTTTAATATTATTAAATATTTGAATATTTAAATATTAAATAAATCTATTTTAAATAATGAAATTCCAAGGCCTCGAAGCCAACATTTCGTTAACCGAATGGGTTTAAATTGTCAATTTGATTGCACATACATATGCCAAATAAATCCTCATAAAATAGGCGAACCCAGTAAAAAGTTATAATGTATATGTCGTTTAACGTCATTATTACATTAAATTATTTGGGTTAGTGTTAAATATATGTTATATATAAATATTATTAATAATTAAATGTTTTAATTAGAATGATTTCAATGATTTCTTCAACTTCGTTTGCAATTCCTTACAACGTTCCTTTTGATTGTATACCGATGTGGCCAAATTGCAGATGGTATTCAATAGACATGAATTATCGCAACCCATATCTAGTCGAGGATCGGAGGATAACATTTTATATTTCCAAAGCTGTAACAAAAAATAAATAATTTTTATTAACGAAAATTGTCAAATATCACAGCTTACCTGACGAAGTAAATCAGGATTTTCCGCCATTTTATCGAGTAAAGCATCAATACCAGCTGGACTTAAGTTCTCAGTGAATTCTGTAAATTGATATTCCTTAAACCATCGAGGTGATCGTTGTTCACCGTGTTCATTAGCTTCTGTTAAATTGAAGATCCATGTGGAATGATCAACGACTTGCTGGAAATATAAAAAATTAAATTTTAACATCTTAGCTTAGCAAAAAAGACCTGTAATTTTTTTTCTATATAAAAAAATTGTCCTCAAAGAAAAAAACTTAGATCTGCGATTTTTTTTTTTCGTAAGAAAAAATTGCCCTCAGTCTGAGATCAGAGGTCTTCGAAATTTCTTTCTATTCAAAAAATGCCCTCAGCCAGGAACAGGAACTATAGGAAAAGTTTGCCCTCATTTTGGAGGAAACTGAGATCTGTGAATTTTTTATTCCGTTCACCACACAGTTGTACAGGGTATTATGTCTTTGTGCATATGTTTGTAACAGGCAAAAGGAATCGAGATAGGCCCATGGTTCCTTTTAGAATATGCATAGAATCACTTTCTCAAGGTCCATCTGTTGATGTTAAATTGTAAACAAAGTACAGGTCGCATTTATAATTTGATTTGGATGAAATTTGTTACAGCTCATTTATTTGGCCCAGGGAAGAACCCTATTGAAATTGGGAAAACCCGGTTCAGATTTAGATGTAGCTCCCATATATATTTTCGTCCGATTTAATGTAAATGGTACACCAAAGCCCCAATATATGTTTCGGTTTTCACGAAATATGGCACAGCGTACTGAATTGGGTGTCCGTGGAATCGGATCAGATATAGATATATGTATCATATATATTTTCGTCCGGTTTACTGTAAATAGTGCACCAAAGGTCCTATATATCTTTCGATTTGCACGAATTTTGGCAACGTACTGAATTAAGTCTAGAGTGATGTCTGCTAAGATTCGTGAAAATCGGTTCAGATTTAGATATAGCAAACTTTTAAACAGTGCAGCATGCCAAATAGCCTGTGTCAAGTTTGATGTAAATTTATTTACAACATCGAAAAGGCGACGTCCGTTATGTTTAATATACCCAAAGTGTTGAAGAGAACTTTTCTGTAAAAAAATTACCCCACTGAGGTCTGCGAATTTTTTCTATAAAAAATGACCTCACTGAGGTCTGCCATTTTTTTATTTGGAAAAAAATGACCTCTCTGAGGTTTGCGAATTTTTTTCTATAAAAAAATGACTTCTCTGAGGTCTGCGAATTTTTTTCTATAGAAAAAAATGACTTCTCTGAGGCCTGCGAATTTTTTTCTATAGAAAAAAATGACTTCTCTGAGGTCTGCGAATTTTTTTCTATAGAAAAAATGACTTCTCTGAGGTCTGCGAATTTTTTTCTATAGAAAAAAATGACTTATCTGAGGTCTGCGAATTTTTTTCTATAAAAAATGACTTCTCTGAAGTCTGCGAATTTTTTTCTATAGAAAGAATGACCTCGCTGAGGTCTGTGAATTTTTTTCCTATAAACAAAAACTAGTCTCACTGAGGTCTGCGAATTTTTTCTATAGAAAAAAATTACCTCACTGAGGTCTGCGAATTTTTTTGATGTAGGAAAAAATTACTTCGCTGTGGTCTGCGAATTTTTTCTATAGAAAAAAAAATTACCTCATTGAGATCTGAGATGTTTTTCTATCGAAAAATATGACCTCACTAAGGTCTGTAATTTTTTTCTATAGAAAAAAAGTGACCTACTGAGGTCTGTGAATTTTTTCTATAAACAAAAAATGACCTCACAGAGGTCTATGAATGTTTTTCTAATGAAAAATTTTTTCTTTGTTTTTTCTTCTACTCACATATGTTACTGGTTCCACTTCGTAGACTCTATAATTTGGATTTTTCATTGTGTGCGACGTTAAACTACCACCATTCCATGAAATGGCCATAGGATAACCCTTCGACGAATAGTGGACTTCAAATTCATCCTGATGTGTGTGACCATTAAATATCCCACTAATAGTTGAACTAAAACGTTCCACCAAACGATTAAATTCTCTCGACCAAACAGTCCAACATTGAGAATCTCCCGATGGTATATGCATTAGTATGTGAACATATTCATTAGATTGTTCCGCCTTGAGGAGGGTATCATGTAACCAATTTAATTGTGGTATACTTGTGTAATTACCACCATCATAATAAATCCACCAATTGAAGAGATAACAATCCATATTGTTGAGGGCAACAATGCGGAAACCAGGTCGGGGAGAGACCGTGTAATAGCCACCTTTGATAATTGTCTCCTTGGTGTCCGCTGGCAGCCATTTTTGCCACACGGACCACAGATGGTCGTACAGCCAAAATGGTTGGAATTCGCTGGGTACATTTTCGTGGGCGAACCTAAAAAACCAGAATATTTGATTAAATTCCTCTAAGAACCGAAATAAGTCTGTCATACTCACGTATTAACCGGATGCATTTCATGATTTCCCACACAAGGATACACTGGGATACCAGGGAATTTCCTTTCTAACAGTCCATATATTTGCGATATCAACTCCAAATTACCCTCCTTCGTGGTGGACCAAATATTATGTGGCAAGATGTCTCCAGTATAGTAAATATAATAGATTTTCCCGCTTGTCATCCGAATGTGATCTAAAGCATTCTCTATCATATACAAAGGTATATCACAATTACGATAATCACCCCAATACCCAGCCCTTGATTGATTTGACTCTTTACCTGCAACAGTGGAGGAGGCACGACAACACATCGGCTCTTTACAATCGGCCCATGACCCAGCTCGATATTCCGGATCATTATGAATATCCGTCAAATGCAGAATATTCATATCAAACGGTGTCTTCTGTGGAATATCTGACTTTGGGCTCAATAGCGGCCATTTATTATTATCAATATTTATAATCCAATTAAATCCTGGCTGATCCACTCGACAGAATTTAATCGGAAGAAAACCGCATATGGTCTTCGGATTGACATTTGTGTTCATCAAAATAAAATACAAAATTGGCCAATTTAAATTGAAGAGACCTTCACATACGGCAGCTGTTTGAATTTGAACACTAGAACAAAAATAAATGAAGGCCTGTTTGGCCAGCTGCGATGCTTGTTCATTGCTGACAGCGGTGCGTAAAACCCACAGTATGATCTGTACGGCTATACGACATGTGGTACAGGTGAAAAATTCCTGGACCTCACTCAATTGCTGTGGTAAATTTCGAAATAGACATTCTTTTCCCTGGGTCTCTCTCAGCTGGGTAGTCAAATCAATCAATTCCTTCGATTCTACTCCGGTTTCAACAAATCGTAAATATTCCTCGGCATATTTTTGGGCTAAGTCATCTACAAAAAAATGGAAGAAATTGTCATTCTTTTCTATAGAAAAAAAAATCGCAGACCTCAGTGAGGCCATTCTTTCTATAGAAAAAAATTCTCGCAGACCTCTATAGAAAAAAATTCCCAGACCTCAGTTACACTGGGGGCTATTTTTTTCTATAGTCTACCTCCTTGCTGACACAACAGAACACAGTGGAGGTTCTCCTGTTTAAGGAAATAAGGAAAAAAATGCACTTACCCGAAACAGCTGACAATTCCTCTTCACTTGCATCAAAATTCTTTGGTAACGCAACCGAATTTGAAGCAACGCCAATTCCTAGCAACGTACTTAAAACTAAAATGAAAACAAAATTCGAAATTTTGATCATAACGCGTTAATTGTCGTTTACCCTCGGTTACATGAAGACTGAATGCCTTGTCATTACACAGGGGTTTACTTAAAGTATTGTTAAGAGGTTGCGAACCTGTTAAGCATGTTGGTTTACTTAAATTGACAGCATAATATTACGATAACATCTCTATCATTGAAATAGAGGTTATTGGTGGGTGACATATCCAGCAGAGCTGCAGATAAGAAAATACGGATTTCCGTATTTAATTAAGTGCAATGCTTACGTCGGATTACCTCAATTGAAATTAAAAAAAAAATAATTGGTTCATAGAAAAAAAAAATGTCTTAAGTTTACAAATTTATCAAAGGTGGTATTTCTTTTGACCTAGAAATTATGTTGAGGAACAAAACAAACCTACTCGTAACCTACATGAAAGATACATGAGTTGGATACACTGGTTTACTTTAGGAGTTTTTTTCTTCAGATAGGATAGAGGGTGAATGGTTCCCAAGTAAAAAAAATCGACGCTGGAATATTGGCGATAAGTACTTTTCTTTCACGTTACCCCAAAACAAGTCGCAGTGTTTTAATTTACAAGATCTCGGTGGACAATTGTGATCAACTGTACGAGAGATGAAATGGTCCGGAACCATTGCTGTAATAGAGCAATTAATAGCGAACGTTGTTCAGATCAGTATATTTCTACTCCGACCATAAATCTGTAAATATATCTCGAAGTCCAATCATCGCAATTGTTGATTGAACTGCTTCTCGACAATAACATTTTTCCCCACTCCAGATGCCACAATTTTACTTCTTGACGTAGCCAACGATGCGGTAATGTGGAACGTCAGTCAATTTGATTTCAATGACCCGATAAGTAAAGACACTATGTATTGATTATTGGCCGACTTAAGTTATTTATGTAAAATATGGTGCATAGATCAATTTTTTACTCTCCGCCACAATATATTGAAATTGTCATCCACACCCCGAAATATTCCTCGGATAGTCCACACAGTTAAAACAATTCCTGGTCAGTGACCAATATAGGTTCCTGTTTTGACATAGTCCTCTATAATGGTATCTCACCATTTTATTATTAGCCGCATTTCCTCATATAAAGGACACTCACATAAAGGTCCCTCACATAAAGGTACCTCATATAAAGGTCTCATTTTGTTATTTTCAAGGTTTTAGCCGCATTTGCCTACCAAAGTGACTGTAATTTGGTATTCCTTGTTTTCAGTTGCTACCATAAATCTATGTAAACAAATAATCAAAATGATTGTAACATGGCTGTCCAGCTTTTTGATGAATTAAAAAACTTCACAACAATTTTTTTAACAATCCCCATAAGCGATAAAGACTCTCTCGTCTATAAATACAAAGTCAGCTCGTCTATAAAGACTTCCTTTAGCTTACCTACAAGGACTTCCTTCAGTACATCTATAAATATTATCTTCCTCCTTATTTAATTAGCTGGCTTATGACAGAACGGTTGTTCCATAAGCTGAGCTTAAAAAAAGATTTCCAAGCGCGTCGGTCTTGTGCTCATCTCATCCAATTTGAAAGACCATCTTCCGAGATGTTGTCTTCTACTTGATCTCTCCGTCGGATTTGTGGCCTATTCCTTCTGCTTGAACCATCACTTGGCTTGATTTTATATGCCTTTTGAGCTGCAGCTCGATACGTGTGAGTATGTCGATGTCTGAGAGTATATGGTTCATGGGCGGCGATATTCACCGTCGATGCACATCAAAACATAGATCTTCCGGAGATTTTTTCTTTCAAACAAACCAATAGCTGCCCCATTTGCTTGTGCAAGTACCCATGCTTCAGATCTATATACCAGGACGGGTAATATCAGCGTCTTGTAGAGTGCGAGTTTGGTCTGGCGAGAGGTGGCCTTGTTTTCCAGTTGCTTACTCAGAACCTAGTAGCATCTGTAGGCCAACACTATTTTTCTCCGGAATTCAAAGCTGTTGTTATTATTTTTATTTATGGCGGTACCGAGGTATATAAAATCGTTCACTACCTCGAAGCTGTAGTTATCATGTTGCGCAGTTTGTCCGAGTCTACTGGACGTCTTGCGCTTTGATACCATCTGCTTGGTCTTCTAGCCATCTACTGCCAGACCCATCCGTTTAACTATGGAAGACGCCTTTCAGCTCGTCTATAGAAAACTCTCTTCTGATCTTCAATACAAAACTCTCTACAACTTAATCACATCGTCTATAGAATAATCCCGTCCCTCGTCTATACAATTTTCCTTACCTTCATCTCGTCTATGAAACTACATTCAGCTCGCTTATAGAAAACATATTTCAGCTTCTCTATAGAACACGTCTTTCATCTCACCTATTGAAAAATTCCTTCAGTTCCCTTCACATCGGCTATAAATACGGCCTCTTCTCGTCTATAGAAAACTCCTTTCAGGTTTATACAAGGCTTTTTCCAGTTAAAAGATTCCGTTTTATTCCTTGTATCAGAAGGAGTGAACCAATGGGTCCCATCTTCGGAATAGATCTATACTTGCAATGTTTGGTTCAAATCGCACATTTCATTCGCCTGATATTGGATTTATAAATATTGAAAATTTTGACCCTTTGTGGGGAATTTACCAGAAGGAGTGTACCAGTAGGTCCCATCTTCAAACTTTATATAGACTTGGTAAATATAACAGGTTGTGCAAAGTTTGATTCAAATCGGATAGTCCGTTTGCATGATATTATAAAATTAATTTTTTTACACAATGTTGACCATTTTGTGGGGAATGTAGCAGAAGGAGTGGACTGATATTCCCCATTTTCGAACTCGAACTAAGTTTGGAAGAAATATTAAGAAGCACCATCGCAATCAGCATGCACCACCCAAGAATGGTTAAAAAATGAGGTTCCTCGCTTCATTTCCAGTTTTTTATACCCTCCACAATAGTATAGAGGGTATATTAATTTTGTTTTTCCGTTTGTAACTAATCGAAATAATCATTTCCGACCCTATAAAGTATATATATATTCTTGACCAGCATAAAATTCTATGACGATATAGCCATGTCTCTAAAAGCCTCTAAACGAATTGAGATAGATCGCAAAAATTTAGCATAGAGTCATCTTTTGTATGCAGGCAGATCAAGTTCGAAGATGGGCTTTAACGGTCCACGTTTAGACATAGCTCCCATATAAGGGTACCCGCCAAATTTCGGTATTTTGGGTTCTTGAGCGCGTTTTTCAACCGAATTCGCTGAAATTTGGTACATTGGGTTATTATTGGGTACCAAATATCTCCACTAAAAATTATAAATATAAGTCCATTTTTTCTGGTAGCCCCCATATAAGGGTACCCCCAGATTTCGGTATTTTGAGGTTCTTGAGCGCGTTTTTCAACCGAATTCGCTGAAATTTGATACATTGGGTTTTTATTGGGTACCAAATTTGGTAAATTGGGTTGTTATTGGGTACCAAATATCTCCACTAAAAATTATAAATATAAGTCAATTTTTTCTGGTAGCCCCCATATGAGGGTACCCCCAGATTTCGGTATTTTGAGGTTCTTGTGCGCGTTTTTCAACCGAATTCGCTGAAATTTGGTACATTGGGTTATTATTGGGTACCAAATATCTCCACTAAAAATTATAAATATAAGTCCATTTTTTCTGGTAGCCCCCATATAAGGGTACCCCAGATTTCGGTATTTTGAGGTTCTTGAGCGCGTTTTTCAACCGAATTCGCTGAAATTTGATACATTGGGTTTTTATTGGGTACCAAATATCTCCACTAAAAATTATAAATAAGGTACCCCCAAATTCACTGAAATTTGGTATTTTGTAGTTTGTAGTTTGTTTATTAATATTCACCTCCTTTTAGGGGTAGTCCACATATAACCCCATTTTATATTAAAATAGTTATCTGATTTGTTCCGCGTTTTGGGTTTGGTTCTAACACTCTGTTGAAATTATTTCACCTGCGGAGGATATCGAGAACGTTGAACGTTATAGTCCACATTTAGACCTAGCCCTACCTACCTACCGATTTTTGGTATTTTTAATATTTGGTGTACATTAAATTTTCGGTATAGCTCCACTTTTGGTTATGTACCCTATATTTTCGATGCTAGTATCTGTTACTATACCTATGGTGGAGGGTATCCAAAGTTCGGCCCGGCCGAACTTAACGCTTTTTTCACTTGTTTTTATCTCACCCTGTATGTCATAGGCTGAGGGCATATAACTATCAGCAACACCAACTGAATCTTTTATACTTGTTATATATTTTTCTATTCATGTTTATTCATTTTTTATTTATTTACAAATTTTCTTGAAGAAAATTAAAATATATATTTCTTTAATTGTTAATCTTATTGAAATTACTTAATTATTTTATTTCAAATAAAACAATAATAATCCTTTGGGATGGCGTATCCTAATTTTACATTTTATAATTAGAATAAATTGTTGAGGGCAAAGATAGCAGCCAACAATGTTGTAAAACTAATGGCGGTAATTGACATGGCACCATCGCCGCCGGGTGTGGTACCTGGAGCCGATTCTGTGGTCGAAACTGTAGGTTTTGGTGTTGTGCCAGCTGTGGTAGTGGCGGTGGTACCTTCTGAACTGGCGTTATTTTCCTTGTCGATCTAAAAATACAAAAAATCAATTATTTTCTCTCCATAAATAGTACCCTTCTTTAATAACCTACCGCATCACTTAATATTGCCTTCAGTTCCTCACAGCGTGTTCTTTGATTATTTACAGTGGTGGCAATGCGACACAGGGTATTAAGCAGACAAGTTTTTCCACAACCTTCAGCCAATTTGGGATCAGCAGAAGTCATTTTGTAGCGCCAGAACTAGAAATAAATAATTTTTGAAATTAAAATTTATTTCCAAAAAAATATTGATCTGCTTCCTCTCCTTACCTTCCTAACCAAATCTGGATTAGAGGCCATGGTATCCAAGAAGGAATCAATTGAGGCAGGACTTAAAACGTTGGTGAATTCCTCAGAAAATGTATATTCCTTAATCCAATTAGGGGTTACACCTTGGCCAGCATTATTTGCTTCGGTCAAATTGAAAATCCAGGTTTCGTGATCAACAACTTGCTGCAAATATCAAATTAAAAATTTAGTTAACTATTCAATATTTTTATTTCCATTCCCCCCACTTACATAACTACTTGGCTCCACCTGATAGACACGATAATTGGGATTCTTATAGGTCCATGTGGTCAAGGCACCACCATTCCATGATATACCCACAGCATGACCATTCGAATAGTGAACATTCATTTCATCTTTGTGAGTATGGCCGTTGAAAATACCACTGATGGTATTACGGAAACGAGCAATTAGACGATTATATTCGCGAGACCAAACATTCCAGCAGGTACCATCACCGCTAGGTATATGAGCCAAAATATGAACATATTCTTTGGCTTTTTCAGCTTCCAGCAGAACTTCATGCAACCATTGTAATTGTGTCTTCATATCGGCACCATTATGGAATATCCACCAGTTATCGGTATAACAATCATTATTATTGACAGCAATAATACGGAAACCGGGCTTAACCAAAGTGGTATAATAGCCACCCTTCAAAATGGTGCTCTTTGTATCTTCTGGCAAATATTTCGACCAAATCTTATACAAAACTTCATATAATTTCCGGGTGTTTACATGTTCGGGCACGTAGTCGGGAGAGAACCTATAGAAGAAAATAATAATAAAATATGAAGAAAATTGAAGGTCGATCTTGAAAAAGTCAACTTTTAGACTTTTCAAAACAAAAAGTCGACTAGTCGAAAGTCGATTTATCCCTACGGCCAATAGTGATATCTTATTCGAGAGAACGTTTTTCAGATTAATTAATCATTCATCAAACCTCTATAACAAGAGAGTACGGTCCAACCAATCCGCCGAACCATAAACCCGCCCAAAACAGTCACACATTGAATCTCCATACTTCTCAACAGTAAATCTTAGTTTTTTTCAGATCTTCACATTCGACAAATTTGGAAATATGTTTCATAATTGAAGTTGCCTTTCCAATAGACACTTTCAACCAATTTTGATTCATTTCAAACCCCAACAAAATACCATTAATCATCTATCGATTGCATAATCCATCATCCATAACTTTTGACCTTTTCGAAAAGAGTAATGTCCAGTGACCTCGCTGGTCCATACATTACACCTAACATTGCAAAGCTGAATATGGAGATGCTTCTCAACAGCTTTTTCATAACTCCTTATGCGTCAAATTTGCTTCTTGACGGAGTCACCGATATAGAATTGAACCTTATTTTTTAAAATTCATTTTTCCGTGGATGATAGTCTGGAATTATTTTCAGGTTTTTCAGGGACCCAATTAATAATATTTCGATATCATAATCTATTATTTTCGAATAAAAATAAGGTCTAATGACTGTTCGGATCTCTGCATGCGGCAAATTTGCTATTGGCGTAGAAATCGAGGTGGTAATGGGTTTTATCCCATATTTGTATACCACAATAACCTATGTAGCAGCTTTACCACATTTATCTTCTTCAAAATCGCTTTAAAAGATTCATCGACGGATGTTTCTCGTCTGAAAATTTTTCTAAAGGATGTATAAATAATATTTTACAATTTATCCAAAATCGAGGGTTTGATTCTTGCCGATTTTTTAGTTTTTACGTTCACAACGTATTTTTCAACATTAAATCCATTAAAATGCGACCTAAAAATAGTTGTTAAGTTACAAAATCTCGTATTTATGAATTGCGTATACATTATGACAATATTCATACGACTTCTGTTACATGAAATGCCATGGGCGTATACGTGTTGACAGTAATCATACGCACTCTACCAACAAATAAAAATATTTCAAATTCCCAAGTATAAAAAACATTACTTACATATTCAATGGATGTGATTCATGATTGCCAATTGTTGGATAGACTGGAGTATCGGGGAATACTTCATACATTTTTTCAATAACCGCCCTGTAGACATCTTCATTCTTTTCATCGGATGTACCCCAAACCATATGATCGACAACATCACCCGTCTGATAGATATAATCCAATTTATGTTCCTTTTTAATGTGATCGAAAGCATTCTCTAAAGTTTGCCATGGTAAATCACATTCACGATAATCACCCCAATAACCGGCAGCCTTCGTTGTACCCTCAGCAACATCCTTATGACGTTGACAACACAACGGTTCATCACATTCTGCTAATGATCCAGCCACATACCATGGGTCGTGATGGATATCAGTTAAATGTAAAATTTTCAAATCTTTTTCGCTCTTGGCGGGAATATCTGATTTGGGTGCTGTTGCCTCTGCCACAGAGTTATCAATATCCAAAGTCCATTCATAGTTGGGATGTAGACCCGTATTACAGAAACTAAATTGCATGAAAAGGCCACACATTTCACGCGAATCGATAACGGTATTCATAATAATATATTCCGCAATATCCCAATGTGATTCAAAGAGGGCTTCACAAACTTCTTGTGTTTGGATTTTCAAACGATCACAAATGTCCAAAACAATTTTCTTCATAATTGGTTTATTGTCGGGGCCGTTTAATTCACCTTCAGGGTCACGGAATGTGCGTGCAACAATATTCAAAGTGGCACGACATGTTGTGCAAACAAAGAATTGATCGGCTGCTCCCAATTCATTTATTTCCTTAACGAAAATATCCTTTTTGCTATGGGCCTTAGATAGCTGTGTTGAGATTTGTTTTAAAACGGCCGATTCAACGCCGGTCTTTAAGTAGTTTATATATTCCTTTTCGAATTTGGTGGCAATATCATCTGTAATGGAGGAAAAAAGAGGGAAATATAACAATTATATGAATTCATACACATTTCGAAGTGGTCCTGGAGAGCCTAAATCTATATCAGAAAGACAACCAAAAAATAGGTTTTTATTTTAGATTATTATTAACTGTAGAGTTGTTGCAACTCGAAATATGGAATTACAATCGAGCTGTATCGCTCGATGGTACGAAGCTGGTCCAACTGGTCGCAATTATGAATCGATATATTTTCGGATAAAATAATTGTATGTATTTCTTTTTAACTATCCAGGGTTTGCTTCTCACCCATTTTCTAGTGTTTACGTTAAGAACCTATTTTCAATATTAAATCCATTATAAAACGACGTAAAAAATAATAATAATAAAATAATTTATGTTGGGAAATATCTTATTTATGAATTGCGAATACGTTGCGACAATATTCATTCGATCTCTGATACATTAAATGTCAGTGGCGTATACGTGTGGATAATAATCATACGCACTCAAACACTATATGTTTAGTAGACAGAAGCATTCATAGTCGGAACATTAATTGAAAAATAATATATGATATCAAATTTTCTCAAGGATACAAATATTACTTCGACTACTTTCCGTCTGCAAAAGGAGACGCCGCACTAGTGCTAATTAATAATTTTATACTATCATGCGAACAGATCATCCTGTCAGTATAGCCTTTATAATTATTGAAGATGGGACTTCTTGGTCCACTCCGTCTAGCACCTCCTCCACAAAGGTTCAATATTTTCTAATATAATATTTCACCAAACCTTTTTAAAGTCCGAAGAAGAAAGTCATCGGTTCACCCCTTCTGATACCTTCCCCATAAAGTGTCAGTATTTGGAATATTTGTAAATCTAATATTGAGCGTACAAAATATCCAAATTTTATGCATACTTGCACATTGTTACACTTTTATCAGACCTGGATCAAATCCAAAGACGATGACCCATCAGCCACAATCCTAAATTAAGTCCAAAAATTAGGTCTATAGAGCAACTTATTTAATATAAAAAATGTTCGGAATCGACAGTAATTCTGTAAACCACCTTACTTCATTCAGTTATTCTCATTATTAGAATTGTTATTCAAAAGTTTAAAAATTCTTTAGACCATCAATGAATTGATTATTGCAAAATAACACTTTAATCTAAAGGTAAAATTTTATTTTTGATAACTAGAAAATGTAGATTACTGCACATCCTTATGTCGGAACAAGCTAATAAACAAATGTTGTGTTATCATAGAAAATATTTCAAGTACTTGAGAATTATTTTAAAGTACTTATAAATATCGCATTGTTTTGTTGTATGGTGCCAAGTTAAGAGTTTCGAACCACTTGTCATTCTAAAAATTTCGAACAAAAAAACAAGCAGTAAGCAAGGCCGAAGTCAAACCTGTTAATAAAAATATAAATATTTAAATTTGGATCAGCTTCCCCTGCGAAGTTCTTTTTATTTTCATAATTTTACTGAATTTTTTATTCGGATTTTGGTTCTTATGTCGAGCCACTTCCCTCTTGGACAGATTTTATAAATGTATCCTCGAATGGCTTGCATATCCCATTGCATATAGACCCATAGACGCATATCGCTTTAACTACAATTAAAAATTCTTAGCATGAGAAAGCCACTATTTTTTTCCAAAAAATGTAAACATTTCATTATTATCAAGACTTTTTTCCTACTTCGCTCTACTTTACTATTTGTGCAAATTTTCCTCCCTCACTCCTTTTTTGACAAAAAACAAATGTATTCCTCCAAAGGAAAAAACAACAACCACCATTCATTGTTTTGGTATCATTCTCCGACTTTTTTTTCCAAAAAAATGTAAACATTTCATTATTATCAAGACTATTTTCCTACTTCGCTCTACTTTACTATTTGCGCAAATTTTCCTCTCTCACTCCTATTTTGACAAAAAACAAATGTATTCCTCTAAAGAAAAAAACAACAACCACCATTCATTGTTTTGGTATCGTTCTCCGACTCTCCCCTTATTCGGTGTTTGCTATTTTTGCAACCGTTTATTTGACTACTGCGTCTGTTGATACACTCACTCGAGTGTGACTAGTTTTGCATTCCAGTGTTTCTTTATTATTGATGTTACACAATTCTCATATGTATTTTCCAAATTATTTCGATTATTTCTTGCGAACATCAAGCCCAACTGAATGTTTAATATGGTTGTTCTAATGATGTAGAACGTGAACATGCAAGTAAATAACGAGAAACGAGACAAGACAAAACGAAGAAGAAGGAGACATAAAATCAAAATAGAAATTGGAACTCGCCACCACCACCAAACTCACACACTCCAAAATTGTTTTTTTTTCCGCTGTTCACAAAGAATGAGTTAGACGTGCTTTCACTGCGCAGAGAATTATCCGTGTCAACCATAAAGAACCCTTCTTTATCGTTGGTCCTTCAAGCCGAATCAAAGTCCGATTTTGGAGAAAATTCATGCTGAAGAATTTACCTTAAAGGTCGAGGAAATAAAATGCTGAGTCAGAAGGAGGCTGCGGCAAGGAAGAAGGCGGTGACGGTGAGTAAAATTGTCGAAGAAGCTTCGATGCTGAGCACAGCGGCTGCAGATAGAAGGGGAGGCTATGGATTCCCTTATCCAAGACTGAATTAGTCGTGCATTCACTCCGCGGAGAATTATCCGTGTCAACCATAAAGAACCCTCCTTTATCATTGGTCCTTCAAGCCGAATCAATTTCCGATTTTGGAGAAAATTGATGCTCAAGAATTTACCTTAAAGGTCGAGGAAATGCTGTCAGCTTGGTGGAAAATCCAAGGAAATAAAAAAAATTGGAATGCGAAATACTGTGTTAAAAGGGGGCTGCGTCAAGGAAGAAGGCGGTGGGCATAGCGGCTGCAGATGGAATGGAGGAGGCTATGGAGTCCATTACCCTATAAGATGAACCAGACAGAGACTCGGCACATACCGAACTTCAGTTAGAAAGAATGTATTTTTTAAGCTTTGTATGGTTTTAGATCCAGAAATTTGAAAGGAGTCATAATGAATTGAGTTTCGAAAATAATGTGGATTTGTTCGAGTGCTTGGTGAACGACTGCGCGTCATATATTATATAATATTCGGAGAATAGAGATAATTAATGAAGTAAATGATTAATATGAAATAACGAAGTGAGAACTATTTCAAAAGCTACAGAAGATATTGCAAGAACAAGTCACAAAGGTGACGTTCATCATAAGAAGTAGTGATTATGACGAAGATTGCCGATGATTCAGCCTTAAAGAGGAAGGCACCGGTCAAAAATATGCTGAGCCACCAAGAAGGGCCGACTATTTTGCCGCAATGAAGAGTATTTTGGATGTGTCGCCCTGGGAAATTAAGATGGGGGCCAAGCGTACCGAGCAGCTAATGGATAATGTGCCTGGTGCGACGATGAGGAAGGAAATTGCCCATGGCCCAGCCTTGAAGATGAATCGAAAGGGTAAACATGAGGAGAAGCCTGAACCAGCCGAGAAAGACTGTGTCCAATGGTTCAGGCTGGAAGAATAAGCCGGCAGACATAGACAAAACTTTCTGAACACTTTTCATATAGTATAAGCAAAGTGCAGCTCTCAAAGGAAATCGATTTTTGTCCGATTTACATGAAACTTTGCATAGCTAAAGTGAATGGAGTCTAGAATGACGTATGACAAGATTTCTTAAAATTGTTTCTGATTTAAATACTTCCGTATGAAATTTGTTGAAGGTCTTTTAGATGATTATATCACAGAGGTCTCCGTCAGCTATCGAATTTAATTTTCCAAAATTTCGCACTTTTTCACATTTCACTACAAACACACGCCCACACTTACCTGATACAGCAGATAGGACAGCATCATTTGCAGTAAATTCCGTTGGCACTCCGGGTAAATTGAAGGCCAATGTTGTAGCCAACAATGTTGAAAGTAAAAATACAATCCGCATGATTATATTCGAAAGCAGATCGATTAAACGAATAAACCGTGTTAAAGCGAACTAAACGAGAACTGAAAGTATCTACTATAATTTATAGATTCGCTTGGTAATAATTCGGAATTATTATTTTTGCTACTTTTTTCCTTTTTCTAAAAAATCCCTAATCATTATTGTATCGCTGATTAGCAGTAACGATTAATTTCGCTATCTGAAATTCATAAAAACGGTAATCGCTATGGGAAAGTTCAGCTGTGTTTGTTGGTGGTTTCTTCGCTCTTGTCATGGTATATAAAGATATCGATAATCTTCATAGTTTTGTTATTGGTGTTGTTGTTGTTGTTGTTGGGAGGGTTCGCTCTTGAAGTAATTATAGAAATAACATAACTGGTAATACATATAATAGAAACAGTAGAAGTCTTATCAATTTTTGGAAATACAAAATAATTAATAGTATAAACAACTTATATTATCTGAATAGCACCTGTGTGACCACGGTAAGATTATTTTAAATGTAGTTTGATGTTTCTTTGTTGTTGCTTTAAAATATTTTACAATTTCACGTGAATAAACACAATAATAATAATAACCTTTTGTTACTGCTTTGCCTCAAGTGACGATCAGTGGAGGAAATAAAAGTGATATGAAATTGAACAGTAGTTCAAGTTCACCCATGTAAAATTTATAGATACCGTTGAATATAGACGAATAATGCAAATCAGTGCATTGGTAATATATGTCATTAGAGTCTCTTATTGAAAATATAGATAATAGAAAATAATGACTAACAATTTATTTTCTGTGATATAATGATAAGAATTCCCGGAAACGGCAACAGAAAATTTGAATGTTTTGAAGTATACTATGAAGTCTTGTGATTTCCCAAAGGAACTAAAGTCATTGGACTATGTAATTTGAGAAATATTATGACAAAATCGTTATAATATACAGGGTTGATTCCGTGGTGGTTTAAAAGTAAGCGTAAATAAAAGACATATTACTTTTTATGATATATTTTTATGATATATTTTTATTATTTGACAAACTATCTATAGTTTTAGAAAATGTTTCGTACGAATCCGACAGTTCTACATAATAAGTAGACCTCGGATTTTTGCATATTTTTTATGCTTTATCCGATTGGACTCAAATTTTGTATTTAGGCGTTTCATGCTTTAATTGATCGATATTTGGGGTCATGTCAAAAATATGCAAAAAATATGCAAAAAATATGCAAAATATATGCAAAAAATATGCAAAATATATGCAAAAAATATGCAAAATATGCAAAAAATATGCAAAATATGCAAAAAATATGCAAAATATGCAAAAAATATGCAAAAAATATGCAAAATATGCAAAATATGCAAAAAAAATGCAAAATATGCAAAATATATGCAAAATATGCAAAAAATATGCACGGTATGCTAGGTCGATATGCGATAAATATATGCAAAAAATATACAAAATATGCATTGTCGATATGCAAAATATGCAAAAATATGCAACATATGCAAAAATATGCAAAAATATGCAAAATATGCAAAAATATGCAAAATATGCAAAAATATGCAAAATATGCAAAATATGCAAAAATATGCAAAATATGCAAAAATATGCAAAATATGCAGAAATATGCAAAATATGCAAAATATGCAAACATATGCAAAATATGCAAAAATATGCAATATATGCAGAAATATGCAAAATATATGCAAAATATGCAAAAATATGCAAAATATGCAAAAATATGCAAAATATGCAGAAATATGCAAACATATGTAAAATATGCAAAAAATATGCAGAAATATGCAGAAATATGCAAAATATGCAAAATATGCAGAAATATGCAAAATATGCAAAAATATGCAAAATATGCAAAAATATGCAAAATATGCAGAAATATGCAAAATATGCAAACATATGCAAAATATGCAAACATATGCAAAAATATGCAATATATGCAAACATATGCAAAAATATGCAATATATGCAGAAATATGCAAAATATATGCAAAATATGCAAAATATATGCAAAATATGCAAACATATGCAAAATATGCAAAAATATGCAATATATGCAGAAATATGCAAAATATATGCAAAATATGCAAAATATATGCAAAATATGCAAACATATGCAAAATATGCAAAATATGCAGAAATATGCAGAAATATGCAAAATATGCAAAATATGCAAAATATGCAGAAATATGCAAAATATGCAAACATATGCAAAATATGCAAAAATATGCAAAATATGCAAAATATGCAGAAATATGCAATCATATGCAAAATATGCAAAATATATGCAGAAATATGCAAAATATATGCAAAATATGCAAAATATGCAAAATATATGCACGGTATGCTAGGTCGCAATATTAAAGATAGAACTTTGAACTTTTGCACATATATTATTATTATTACTCCTAGGATATTTGGTATTGGAAATGGGATATATCGGTCCACGTTTTAGTATATCGCCATATAACGGTTATATATGTTTGCATGTTTTATACATATATTTAGCAAATTTTTCATAATGCCCCAAAAATCTAACAGTTGAACCATGAAACGCATACATACACAATTAGATTTCTATAAGTTAAAAATAAAGAAAGCACACAAATTCGAAAACTACCCTGAATTTTTTTTTTTTTTTTTGATTAAAATGATTGCATTTGTGAAATATGTTGCACATATTTGCATATATTTTGCATATTTTTGCCTATATTTTTCATTTTTTTTTTGCATATTTCTCGCATATTTTGCATATATTTTGCATATATTTTGCATATATTTTGCATATTTTTGCATATTTTGCATATTTTTGCATATTTTGCATATTTTTGCATATTTTGCATATGTTTGCATATTTTGCATATGTTTGCATATTTTGCATATGTTTGCATATTTTGCATATATTTTGCATATTTTTGCATATTTTGCATATTTTGCATATGTTTGCATATTTTGCATATATTTTGCATATATTTTGCATATTTTTGCATATTTTGCATATTTTGCATATATTTGCATATATTTTGCATATTTTGCATATGTTTGGATATGTTTGCATATTTTGCATATATTTTGCATATTTTGCATATTTTTGCATATTTTGCATATGTTTGCATATTTTGCATATATTTTGCATATTTTAGCATATATTTTGCATATTTTATGCATATATTTTGCATATTTATTGCATATCGACCTAGCATATTTTGCATATTTTTTGCATATTTTGCATATATTTTGCATATTTTGCATATTTTTTGCATATTTTGCATATTTTTTGCATATTTTGCATATTTTTTGCATATTTTGCATATTTTTTGCATATCTCGTGCATATGCAAAATATGCAAATATGCAAAAAATTAAAAAATATGAACCCTTCAAATAATTCTAAATCCTTTGAAACGAATTTGTGTCCAATCAGAATTTCGATATCTTCATTATTAAAAAATATGCAAATATGCAAAATCCGAGGTCTAATAATAAGGAAGGTATACAGAATTTATTGAAATACATACATTTAAAAAAAAGGGATATAAAAAATCAATTAAAAAAATATGGCTTGTGTTGAACCACGAGATTAGGGCACGAAATATTGGCCCTCAGCCTATATTTTGCAGAGATATACGCAAATACTGTCTAATTTTGAAATACGATTTTTCTATTAAAGGGAACCCCACCCATTCTCGATTTTAATTTTTCAATAATTTCAATGGGCTGGTAAATCAATACCAATGCTTATTAAGGTTTGTAACTTTGCACATATATATTTGAAGATTTAAAAGAGAAGAAAAATAATTTACAAAAAAATTTTGTTATTGCTTTGTTGTTGTTTTTTGTAATTAAAGAAAATTCCTTATTTTTGATGGCGGAACATCGGAATCCGAAAATTCCAAAGTTGTTGGAAAGAGTACATGTCTCGCTCTCGTATGAACTAGGATTATTGACTTCGCTCTAAAATTAACAAAATGGCGGACCTTTAAAAAAATATTTTTGGAAAATCGCCGATTTTTGACCAAAAACCAAGTTAAAAAATAAGGGAAATCTTCACCGATTGGCTTTATCCTAGTTCATACGATAGCTATACACTCACAGAGAAACGTGTAACAATTTGGAATCGATTGGGTTATTAGTTTTTGAGTTATCGTGCCCGCCATTCGCAAAAGAGAAAAACGCGTTTAAAGTTTGAGAAGCCCTTTAGCCGTCACTTGATGCTGACACAAGAGTTCTTGTGTCAGCATCTTCAAGAGTTCCTGAGATTTTCACTTGAAATTTTGTAGAGACATTCTTGAATTAGTGTAGAATCGAATTAAATCAAAAAAAAAAAAAAAAAAATTTGTGGCAATAGTACAATATATGATGGACCCATATAGCCGACAATTGCACTAAATCTAAATTTAGTATAAATATTAAGGTCTGCTATGTTTAGACCACACAGGATTTACTATTCGCTTTATATAAGTCTATTGGGCCACTTTACTGGCACCTCCCACATATGGCCAACTCTTTGATAAATACGTATGTGTATTTAGTTGCCAGTAAAGTTGCCCTGTAGACTCCATATTCGGATTTAAAGTATGTTTAGTAAAATATTGCGATGGAATAAATGGTATACTTCATTAGTTTCATATCAAATTTCCAAATGTTGAAAATTCGCTTTATATTGGATTATATCCACGGTTCCTTTTGAGAATATGCATAGATTCACATTCTGAGTCGATTTATTTATGACCGTCCGTCCATCTATCTGTCGATGTTAAATTGTAAACAACGTACAGGTCGCGTTTTTGTTTCGAATTGGTTGAAATTTGGCACAGCTCATTTAATTGGCCTAAGGACGAACCCTATTGACATTGGTGAAAATTGGTTCAGATTAAAATATATCTACAACAAACTCTCAATGTTTTTCCAATTGAGACCGTACCGTATTGAGTAAAAAATGGCGTGTATTATGTTTCGTTGAAATTTGTTTAGGTTTAGATATAGCTC